GTCTGCCCTGATACAACGCCTGCATTGCCACAGTCTAGTACTGAAACGGCACAGGCAATACCACAAGGACAGAATTCTACACCTGCATCAACTGTAGGCCAGTGTGTGAAACACATCAAGCCTAAAAGGAAACGTTCAAGACGTCATAAGACCTCGAAGGCGTCATCAAGGAAAGGGGATGAATGCCAGGCGTGCAGCATCACAGTTTCTAAAACTGATTCAGCGTTTGAATGTAATTTTTGCAAACGATGGGTGCACTGCCGTTGTGACAAAGAAGTACCGAAAGCATACTATGAGTTTATGAGAAATAACCCATGCCCATGGTTTTGGTACGTGTGTCCACTTTGTCGCCCTGGCATAGTCCCACAAAGCGTGTCTGCGGATAGCAGAAATAACATGCTCTTGTGCCCCAACACAGTATCATGCAGCTCCCCCCTGCTAAACTCGCACTGCCGAAACTGGTCAAAGACTTAAAGAAGGACACACCAGCCCTACTGACTGGAAATGCCAATTCTCACAAGGTGAAGATTAGCAAGGTTCCATCCACATCAGGGGAGGGCAAAATTACAAAGGCACCACTTGCATCCACTAGCAAGCCTGGCAACACAAAAAAGGCTGTCCAGGTACCGACGAAGCCTAATGTTGCTAATGATGCAAAGGACTGCAAGAAGCCGAAGGCAAAACCTAAGTCTGAGGGTAGTCGGTCTAACTCTCTCATCCTCTTTAACGTACCTGTGAGCACGGATAGCTTGCTCGAACAACGGGCCCTGTTTGATCAGGAACAGTGGTCCAACCTGTGTGGCAAACTAGGTCTGAACATTAGTTCAGCAAAACTGTGCAGACTGTACAGGGGTGTCCACACGCCTCAGGGTAAGCCACCCCCATTACGGGTTACACTGGACTCTGCCGAAGAGGCCGAAAAAGTACTGTTAATGGCTCAGGTACTAGCCCTGGACAGAAGTTCTAACATAAGAGCGCGGCAAGATAGACCATGGGCCGTCAGAAATATGGCGAGGGAGTCACCGGAACTGATGCCTTCCACCTCTATGGTGGTACACGGTGTTCCGGAGCTGGAAACCGGCACTGCTTGTGAAAAACACATGCACGACGTACAACAATGGAGATGGCTGTCATCTCAGATGGCCCCTGGCGCTTCTGGAGCCATCTCCATTTTCCGACTACCTCGTCCCGCTCATCTAACATTGATTAACTCTCCAAAGCTGCTGTGTGTCACATTCAACTCCCCGGAGCAGTTGTCCATATCACTTCAACGGTGGTATGAGACCAAGGGAAAAATTGGAGGACACATCCGATGCTGTGAAAGCAGACCCAGAAATATAAGGAGGCAGCAAACTGAGGCTTTAATACGACCCCAAGCTTCGGTGACACTAGAGCGATGCAGCTCTGAGAATAATAGTCTGTGTCTCCCAAGTGTCCTGCCTAAATCCATTGAAAAAAACTACAACGGGCCGGTTCTATCGGAATCGGCCAACTAGTTCCAACATCAAGTCCCCCACCAGCAGACGGTTTCACGTCAACTACCCCACAACACTCTGAGGTTGTTAGACTCACTGTCAGTTGCCTATATAGCAATGTGAGGGGGCTGAGAGGGAAAGTAGGTGAACTCCGAAATCTCCAAGCACACCTTCAACTGAAAATAATCATTCTTACTGAAACGTGGCTAAACCCCACTATCGCCGACAATGAAATCAGTATAGGTGATATGGTACTGGTCAGGAGAGACAGGGATAATAAGGAAGGAGGGGGAGTTGCTATATACTTTGATAGGCAACTTAAATGTGTGCGCGCAACGGACCCACCACTTATCGAACTCCCAGACTCCATATGGTGTCATTTCACCGTAGGCCACACCAAGCACTTACTGGGTGGCATCTACCGATCTCCCACCTGTGGGGCAGAGCACAATCAGCTACTGCTCAGCACTATCACAGGAATACGAGATTTGGGCTACGACCAAATCACCATAGCTGGAGATTTCAATGCTCCATCACTGAACCTTGGCTCCGGGTGTGCTAAGGGAAAATTTGGCCGAAACCTACTGCAAACTATTCGAAACACGGGACTGACTGAGAATGTTGGAGACGACACTAGGTGGGGCCCTAGTGGAAAGTCATCAAAACTAGATTATATTCTAACTAGTGACCAGCTACTCGTCGAAAAGGTCCAGATCATGACTCCTCTGGGAAGCAGTGACCATGCAGTCATAGGTTTCGATCTTGTCCTCCGTGAGCGTTTGCAATGGGATGTTACGCGACCATGTCTGTGCTACAGCAAGGCTGACTATGCTGAAATGCGGAGGCTCTTGTCCGACGCAGACTGGCCCTTAGCATGGGACGACCTATCTGTGGATGAACACTGGGAAGTGGTAAAAAAGATTATCCATGCAGCAATCTCGGATACCGTCCCTTTAGTCACAACACAGCCTAAGAGAAAGACGTCATGGTTGAAGAGAGGCACGCAACGTATTCTGCAAGCAAAGCGGAGGGCTTGGTTTACGTGGCGTGTATCTAAGAGTCAGACCGACCATGATGCATACCTCGAACTCAGGAACCGGTGTAATGCAAGAGTTAGGAGGGACAGAAGGTCATTCCAGGCTAACCTTGCTAAAAAACTCCTATCAAACCCTAAAAACTTGTACCGATTCATGTCGGAAAGAAAACCGACAAACCAAGGGGCATGCGCCTTAGTAGGCCCAAACGGTCAATATCTCACTAGTCTGGAGATGGCTGAAACATTCAGTTCAGCCTTCGCTAAACAGCTAAACAGCAATGTGGATATTACAGTTACGGACCAAAATGGTGGCACCACTATTTCAGAGGAGGAAGACCTAGCGACTACTCCCCAAATAAACCCCGCAATAGTACTAAGGAAGCTACAGCGACTCATACCTGGGAAGTCCCCAGGTTGTGATGACATCAGGCCATCTGTTCTGAAACAGTGCGCCGAGGCTCTCTGTAGACCCCTGTGCGACTTGTTCCAACACTCAATGGATTCGGGGACCCTGCCAAGGGAGTGGAAAAGAGCCATCCTTTCTCCAATCTTCAAGGGTGGGGACAGGCAAAACGCTGCTAGCTATAGACCAGTAGCTCTACTCCCAGTGGTATCAAAAGTACTGGAAAGTATTATTGACGACCACATCAGGGAATATTTCGATAGGACTAATATACTACATGAAGCCCAACATGGTTTCAGAAAAGGCAGATCCTGCGTCACTAACCTACTGTCAGCTTGGGACGACTGGACATCATGCTGGGACTTGAACGTACCAGTCCATGTGGTCTTCCTAGACTTTGAGAAGGCATTTGACACTGTTCACCATGACCTTCTCCTACATAAAATAAGCCAGGCAGGCATAGGTGAGCCACTTCTGTCATGGTTGAAGGACTACCTAGCCGACAGGCAATTTTGCACTAAGGTTAACCGAGTCCGATCATCTTGGCACAGATCGTCATCAGGAGTGTCGCAGGGTTCTATCCTAGGACCACTGATGTTTTTGATTTTCATCAATGATCTACCACGCCGTCTGAGCTGCCCGACTCTCCTGTACGCTGACGACGTAAAAATATGGAGGGCGATAAAGTGTCCGGAGGACTCAGATAGGCTACAGGAAGACCTAAACCTTCTGGAAGACTGGGCGGTGGCCAGTGGCATGACTTTCAACTTGAAAAAGTGCAAAGTAGTGAAGTTGCGCACCTGTAGACTGCAGAATGCAAGTTACACCCTGTGCAATGAAAGCTTGTCCTGCACAACGTCGGAACGCGACTTAGGTCTAGTTCTAACGGAAAAAATGGACACAAGCGTAAATTACACAGGGGATGTAGCGAGGGCATATGCGGTCATACACTTTACGCATAGACAGTTAGGTGCACTCACTCCTGAGCTCTTTCTAATGTTGTACAAAACATACGTCAGGCCACACCTTGAGGTGCATAATATTATTGCACCCCCAATGCTGAGAAGAGATGCCAACCTCTTGGAAAGAGTCCAACGACGGGCAACAAAAGGAGTGGTTGGTCTCCGAAACAAACCATATGATGAAAGGCTGAAGAAATTAGGCCTGTTCACACTTAGTTACCGTCGGCTTAGGGGGGATTTGATTACTGCCTACAAAATAACAAATGACCAGAATCACCCAAACAAAGGTGTTCTGCCATTGAGTAGGTATAGGCTTCCACGTGGAAATCCCAGAAGGATAGCTCACCAGAGGGCAAGGACCCGGGTGCGCTCCCACTTCTTTTCACTGCGGGTTTGTCGTCCCTGGAATTCCTTACCGGCAGATGTAGCTATGGCACCGTCTTTGGACGCCTTTAAGCGAAGGCTGGACAACCATGCAGCGATACAAGGACTGCATCCAAATGGCCTATCTCCTTAAAATCGCATTTACCAATCAGGGTAGATAATTAAACTCGTCATTTTACTTCTTTACATTCTCTCCCGTCTTACTCTCCTGACAACTTATTAATATTATAATTACTATTATTATTATTACTATTACCGATATATATATTATTCTTCAAACTTCATGAGCTGACTGTTGTTACGTTTCCTATTTTCGTTTCTGTCTCTTAGTCTGAATAGCTTCACTAATTATATCTATTATTATTATTACTATTATTATTATTATTACTATCTCTTTTCTCTTGTCGACAATACCGAAGGACTAACTGGCGAAAGGATCAACTCCAATCACAGTAGTAACAGTCTTAACATACCTCATACTACAAACCACATATAATTAATCCCAGCACTACTCCCTTTGGAGTCAACCAAAGCTACGACAGTCGAGTGGCGGGACAAGCTACGCAGAAGTTTACCGAAGATCAAGAACCTATACCTCACAATCAAGAAGCGAGCACAAAGAAATCAAATTGGTTTATACTAGCTCGTAAAAACGATATTGGATATTGGATGGTCATAACACCCCATACAACCACTTCCCGCAGCACCACTTGAATCAGCCAAGACTACGACAGTCAAATCGCAGGAACACTATGCAGAAGCTTAACACAGACCAGGAACCTTTTCTGTACAACCGAGAAGAGATCGAAGAAAATCCACTCGGTTAACACAGGCTTGTGAAAACGATACTGTACTGTTTTAATACTCCTCTTTTAAGGTCACTACTGTGTGATCGCTGAGAGGCTGTAGCGGACAGAATGTAGAGTGCTTAGTATTCCTCACCTTACTCTCTATCTGTGGGCATTATCCTTTTGAAATTTACTCAGTTTCCATTTAATCCTATGTAAGCGCATATATTTTAGTTAGAAACTCTATAATTCATAAAATGTATTGAGTGCCTGCTAATTTTCACTATAATGCGACATGGGTACAAGTAAAATGAAGTCATCCCTTGTTTTCATTCTGACGATACTCGGTGGCGTTTTAGTTGGTTATTTCGATGACCTGTGACCACATCGAACGAGACGGCAGAAATAAAGTATCAACGTTAATACATACGCTTTACAATAAACGATCGCTTCACGAAATCAAGCCGTGGGTTGAATACCTTGTGCTATATGTTGTAGATTTCAGGTATATCAAGCAGCAAAAGGAGTAGTATTTTTCCCAAGCAGTTTCCAACTGTATATCTAAGTGATTTAAATATGATCTAAATAATCGATTATGAAGATTGGTTTTAGTTCATTGTAGCACTTGTTACTAGGCTTAATTTACTGTCACAGAATGACATTTGTTTAGCATATTTTTCCAGATGCATACTCAGCTGCTCATAAATACTTCAGGAGACATTGCGTCATGACGTAGTATCATGTTGACTATCAATGCATCCCGTGCTAACAGATTTATAGATAGATAGACTACTGCATTGAGTTATACTCATCTTCAAACACTAGTCCGTACACATAGCAGTGTTAGGAAAGAAACGCTAAATGAGGCACTTATCCTCAAACCTGTTTTCGGTCAAGATCAGCGACAATAGGGTGTTGGACGTCGTTGCATCATCTGGAAGGTCCCCGACTGGAATCTTAGAAAATATTGGTAAAATTCTTGGGAAAATCCTTTTTTAAAGACCTTTGAGGCGCGTTGTTGTCTAACCATTCGAAAGCAGAACTGGTATCAACGACATTGCGCCTGCAACATGTCTGACGTTTACCAGGCAACTGTCAGCTTGCCCAATTGAAACACACCGACCTACACTCGCATACCAGCTTTTAATATCAATTGCAGTCTAAGTTCTAGCAATAGCTAGAGACTTTATTTCTTCTATAAGGTAATATTACTGGAATGGTTGTCGCATTATACAGACTTTAGAAAATGCATGAGAGTAAAAATTGACGGGAAGCATAACCAAAAATCTGATCACTTCTCGATACCATCTTCGCTCAAGTAGCGAGTTGACTGACTCATAGGTCGCTGTGTAAATTACCACAAAAGTGCATTACTTCAAGTTTTTTAAGTCGAAAACAGCACTCAAAAGAATAGTTGTATAACGGTACAAGAGTGGACCGACGTTAACAAAGAGTTTAGTGCTTTTTAGAGTTATGGATATGGAGTGATTAAAAGTGATGTATTTAGAACTATTTTACTTGAAGTCTTAAACTATGCATTCACTGATTATATCCAAACACTTAACACCCTACTGTGTGAATCAGTTCAGGGGTAAATGACTTCATAGTTTTATTCCACATTATGGCTTAATCACTGCTAACCATTCTTAAAATTGGTCGTAAGTCAATGAGTTTTGCAGTCACAAAAAAGTGCATTACGTACCCTTTGCGAATATTATATAGGTGATGTGTTAGTGATGATTACAAGACACGATCATTCTGATTAAAAGTTCATTGGTCAACCGTCGATGTGTATGTAACTTCCTGTGAAACCCAGATAATTCTCTGCTTTCATTAACTATTTAATAATAATAATAATAGCCTTGAAGTATGTGGAGTTGCTCGTCAAAGCCTGTCGTCTGATTAAGTTTAACAAAATCCACATTCGCTCTACGTAAGTTTATTCTGCACAACCTAAAGTTATTGACATTTCGGCTTTACTTCCGTGAACGGTCGAATAACATTTGAATTTGTTGTATAATTCCAATACTCGGTAGTGTAGTTCACTCTTTTTATGAAAGTGGTGACTACTAAGATTCATATTTCTAACAAGTCGCCTAGCCTTGTTTTGACGTGGTGAACAAGAACATTAGTAAATGAAAGCACTTCCCCTACTTATCAAAATTCCTATTTTCGCAAATCACTTCGCGAAAGATAGTCTTCACACACTGTTGGAAGTATTCCCTAATAAAACACTATCAACTTCGGTTCTTTAATATCGGCCCGCTTAATTATGTTCCTAGCTGTCATACTTCCTATGTGAGAAGTGATAATAATTTCCATTCTGAAGTGCAGCAGATTTGTAATCAAATCATTACTAGATAACCGCGATCTGATGAGGGAGTGGAGAAAGCCGAATAACACCATAGCCATGTCTCGGTCGAAAGTTGGTGCTGTTTGGAGATACACTGTATTCTATATGTAACTGTAGAAGGCTGTCCCCATTATCTGGATCCTACTTAGCTCTCACTCCGCTTTTCTAAGGACTTAAACGCAATACTTGCCGTTATAGTTCCCAGATAACATTAACATATCTATCAAGTAAAAACAAGTATTAACAAGGCAATACAATTTATTTGGAATTTGAAAGAAGAGCTGTCATACTAAGTTCCAACCTAGAACTGTGGACAGAAGTGCAGCAGTCCAACTTGCCACACTCCGTATAGCACACAAAGGTTAAGAAAAGAGCAAAAAGATTAAAAAATCTAGAATAAGTGGAAATTTGTGAGAGAAAGAATGGTAACATTGCAAAAGCATAAGGGTTTAATGGATATGAGAGGTCACAAAGAGTGTGAATGCATTCCCGCTATTGAGGACGGTTTTGAACCGTATCACCAATAGTTTCTAGCATCTAGAGGACCCAGACTAGGTAATCTGTATATCCCTACATGGCTCAACTATCTAAGATTTCATGGATCGATACCTGGTTTCGGATTGTCCACCACTAACTCCCAGCCTAATTTCATGTAGGTTAATAGTGCTTGTCAAGGAAGGAGATGGCTCGACAAGCGCAACACGTCACGTAGCCATCTCAATCCATGTAGCTTCACAACTCCATCGATTGACTTTCCTTTCTCACCCTCCTAGAGCACTACTACCAGGAGCCAGCCAATGTAACTCGTTGTGTCATTGTAAGGTGCAACACCGACTGCTCATCGAAGTAGCAGTTATTGGTCGGGCGTCTGTTATATCAATACAACCATTTGAATAAGTGAGTGCACACCTAAATAAGACAGTCGGCAGTGTTTACGGTTATACTAGAGTCCTGAGGTCTTCATAAGAATGCACATACTAGTGGTTACTGACTAATATTCCACTACTTTCGTAAGTATTAACTGAATGCAAGACTTGGAGGAGTTGTAGGTGTATGAGGATAACGGATAACTACTTTCAGAAACATCAGGTAATTTACTCTAAAATTATCCAGTATCAAGTTCTCAAAATATGCATGATAACTCTTCGTCCCTCATAAAATTAACAATTAGAACAACCGGATTTGCCTGCAGTATTCGGATTATTTTTTGTATCTGCCTCTTCTCAACTGTATTATAACATCATTTATTTCTTGTATTCCAAGTAGAACAATGGGCTTTATCTGTACATCACTGCACTCCACTATCTGCCATAGCTTACAGCTGATGCGACGACTGCCTATAAGCTTTCATGTAGGCATACTGTATTAAGTTGGCACTTGTATGTAAGTTAATGTATCATGTTTCTCAATAATGTTTTTGTATTCTATTTTCGTATGTAAACAGATAATAATTTTTGTGTTTCTACATCGCCCGAATGCAAAAGTCATTTTCGATTGACAAAGCTGATCTTCAAGAAGTCCTACAAGAATTCATCTCAGATTTAATTGATTCATGTATAATGGATGATATTCTAATAATGCATCGTGCAATTAAGCTAGGATATTTTCATATTATTGCTGCCGAATCTAATCAAGATTTCTCTGACAACAATAGTGCTTCAAATTCAGGTTCTAGCAAGGATCCAAACAAAAATACAAGTTGCTGTCGATGTGGAAAATGTAATTGTAAAGTTGCTGCAACACGCTATGCTGCTCATTTGTCTAATTGTATGGGTTTGGGAAGAAACAGTTCAAGACGGGCAAACAAGTAAGTGAGACCTTTCTGCCAGTGATATTTCTAACTGATTTTTCTCCTCATGGATACTATAGGATACTAACCGTCACGGTTTTACTCTTGTGATTTATTGCATGGTGTAACTGCGAATGATTATTCCTATACGCTGCTTCACGTGTGGAAAGGTCGTCGGCGACAAATGGGAAAGCTACATAGGCTTATTACAAGCTTAATACACTATAGGATTACTAGTAAATCGTTAGCAGAAATGCACACATTGATACTCGTTAAATCGAACCTCTTAAAAATAAACGGTATTTTCTCTAAGTCCCATGAGTTACACATCAAACATATTCCAGTGATTTGTTCAGCAAACTCATTGTTTGTTATTTCAGCCAACTAAAGTACCATTTTTTATTTGGTAATTATTGCGTATGAGTAAATTAGTTCCTTTATTTTTAGACGTATAGCAGAACAGCAGCGTCTAGAAGACGAAACAGAAGACAATTACCGTGTGTCATCGTCTAGAGGCGTGGTTCGTTACAAGAGCTCTGCGAATGCATCTGGTCAGTTCGAATGCAAATATTCCAACGGATCAGTCAATCGTCACCAGTCACCTCTAAAATTGACAATTTCTCTGGTATCAGGTGGTTCAGGGAAGTCAGATCAGTCATCAAAAAATCAAGGAAGTTAAAGAATCAATTGCTGGCAATACACTTAGTTGTTGAGACGAAAGTGACTCAGTGGGAATTGGGAATCCAAAATTGTTATGACCTAACCTGTCCGCTGTCATGAACAGTTTACATTTCTAAACTATCAAGTTTGTAAATAGAAATATGATTTTTGTATTGTCTCAGTCGGTTGAACTTCTTATTTTGATATATTTTGATAATACAAAGTTTGACTAACTGACAATGGAGTGTACATGTTTTTAAAATGTTATAGTGCACCACATGTGGTGAACTGTAACAATGGCATATTTCCCGATTGTCCGCTGATTTATTGTATAAATTCTCAGTAAGTAGTAGTTTCCATGACATAATATACTAGAGGGTTACTGTAACATTGCTAAGTATAGTAACCGAAAGTTGTGTTTTAGTAATTGCTGTTGAGTGTTTTTACGCACTGAAACTGATGATCAGGTAATTCACTAATGTTTGAAACTGATCTCAGTAATCTGATTCAAGTTAATGAATGCTCCAAAACTGCACACTAACAAACCTCGCTCACGATAATACGTATGACGAAATAACAATTAGGGTGACTGAAGTTGATGCAACAACCGTCACCTGTGACAGATAACAAAGGAGAGAGAGAAGGAGAAAGCTGACAGAACAGTAGGAAATTCTATTAAAAAATGTCATAGTTATTAGCTGAAGAAGACAAATCACAGGAATAGTCAGAGGGAATCAGCAAAATACAACCGCTGTTTAGTTTTAAAACAAGTGGAGTGACATAAATAGAGTCTTACACCTCTGCAGATCACAACTATAAAACCATCTGAAAATATGCAGCTCAGGAGGCACTGTTGCCTAGATTGATTGAATAATCCTACAACGAATACGTTTTCAGGACAAAAAAGAACGGACTGTTATTTCACGGCCTTTCTTCAGCTATTGACAGTCTAAATATGTGAATATATAACATCGAAATTATTTCAAATGGAAGGGAATGTAATAATTCTTAGCGTAGTAACAGAACAAGAGGTATGTATACAAGACAGGTATTAACTGAACAACTATAGTTTATTTGTACATAATGTGATGAAAAGTACGAAAGGAGAGACTGGCATTGAAAGGATGATTACGTTAAGAAACAATTGGTTAAATAGGCGGATTAATACTGAGTTCAGCTTAGCGAGTGAAAATACAAACTGTGTGAAGATTGTGACACAACGGAAAATAAAAACGGTTCAGCGAAGAGACTATCTTGGGCCATTTCATTTCCTTTAGCTGTACAATCGCATTTAAACAGTTTTCTCCGCAAAGGAAGATAGTAACAAAAGAGATGAGCTGTCGTAACCAAAGTTGCTAATATAAGTCAACTTATTAGAAAAGTTGTATAAGGCTGATATAGTTACGTATTGTGCTCAAGATGCACATAGGAACGAATGGGAGAGTTAAAAAAAAAAACAAATTGGCTGAAAACAACAGAAATGGCTGACGAGTTCATTTTTCTATGCAGAGCTCAGGCTTCTCTACCTGAATGACCAGCGGTTCAGTAACACAAAAAATGAGAAAGTGTATTGCCTTTGATAGTTGCATTTCACTTTATAGATAGATCAATTCGAAAAAGCAATTCGTTGAGACAGAATGGCAAGTGTCATCGAGGTGTTCAGTTATTGTACTCCCTAAAGAGTCACTGCTACGATGCACGATAGTGTTATTGAACCCTTTTAGACGATAAGAGTCGAACGACTAATGTACCTGGCTCCACATGCATATAGAAGTAGTCAGATGAGAGATCTCGTCTTCTGCAGAATACAACTCTTAGCATTGCTGCGAAGAATCTCCTCAGGGACGTTGAAATTGTTTTCATAAGGAAATTATCAAAGGTTCACCTTCGAAATCGAGATTCAAGATGTTTCATGTCTCTGAATATCCACTTTGATTTTCTCGTCACTTAATCTCAGTGGATATCCGTACTGAATGTAGACTTCTCCTAAGTCTAATTCCTTTTCTAAAACCGCTAGGATGCAAGTACGTCAGATGTGAATGGCCAGGGATATAATTAAATTTCGTCTTTGTCCAATGGACATCAGATGTAGGAACTTGTTAGTTGATGGATCCGATATGGATTTCCTATAGATACACTGTCTTACGGTTCCGTTGGCTTTCATATTTGTTTTACAAAAAGAGTGAATTCCAACTCTGGATAGCATGAATGTTTTTCTTTTCATTCATTGGGAAATACAAAAGATTTTATAGTAATGAGATTTTAACTTAGTCTTTTAATAGTGTTTCACGAGAGTAGTGAGCAAGAATATAACTTTACTGAAAACCCCATTTCAGTACTCATGGGTTATCTTACATTTAGACTAAGTTACCTGTCGAGTTGTTTACGTGAAGCAGTACTCATGGGAGATTGCAGCTGGTTGCACTTTCATCATTTAAATCCATCATACACATATACTTACTTTTTCATCGAATTATTTTCCTCTTTTCATGATAATTATTTACGAAAAGTGTAGTGATGCAGTTTCCAGTATACACAACCGTCTAGGTAAACTTTTAGTTCACGGTGAAAGTATCACTGGTGCTTTCTTTTAGTACGAGTACATTGAAAGAAAGATTTACACGTACATTTTGAGCTTACTAAAAACTCATGGTATTTATTAGTTTATTCCCCTACGTTCCGAGTGGAACACAGAGCTTCAAGCTAGAGCTTCGAAGTTTCGGCAGCAGTGGTCTTTATTTTTGCTAGCCTCATGCCCAACCTTTCCTCTGTACCAGTCTTATTACTGGCTTAGCGAGGTAGAGGAGTGCGTCGGCCGGGGATCGAACCATATGCGTGGTTGACAAGCATTCTACCGGTGTGCCAACGACGACTTTAACATCAAGTTATTCAGATCACCATTAACCTACGGTGACTCATTGATGTATCAAAATCGATCAGCGGATGACTGACTGGATTCAACGCAGAAATTTGCACAGATGTGCAGCAGTTAGAGTTGCCACACTTCATGTAGCACATAAAGCAAGAGAAGCGAGTAAAGGGAGATAATGGATAGAAGTATGAGAGAAAAAGAAAAGTAATGTGGATATGATAAATTACAAAGAGTGAATGTATCTGCGCTGTGATTAAGAACGATTCTGAGCCATATCACCAATTGTCTCCAACCGCCGCCATCCCGAGGACCTCAACCAGACAGTTTACACCTCCCTACGTGACTTTAACTGTTTTGAAGGATTTCATTGATTGATGCCATGTTTTAGTTTGACCACCACTAACTCTTTTTCAACCTGATCCTTTGTCAGCTAACATTAACCGTTGAGGAAGGCGATGGCTAGGCATGCACGCGTAAAACATGTCCTAACCATCTCAATCGGTGTAGCTTTACAACCTCGTCGATTGATTTTCCCTGCTTATTACTTCATATGATCACCAATATCCCCTATAGTAGCTAATTTCCCCTCCTCATCTAGCACTCCACCGAAGCCTAACCTCGGTATTGCTCACCTAATTATACCACTTAGCTAACACGGGAGAAAGAATGCAGACACCCATGATCAAAGACAACAAGCCTTTTAGTATATTCCACTTTCAATAATCATGTCTCACAGCCGTAAAGGAGGGCAGAGCGAACTGTTGAGTAGTACACATGTCATTTGGTCGACAACCAGCGGGAAATCACGTCTACTCAGCCAGAGATGGCGTAAGTTAGCATGTGCCAGACAGGCCTTCTGCATCCGCGCTACGATCAACTCCCAAAATAAGTGAAGTGATCAACACACTCTACCACTTCACTCACTCCCAGCTTTCAGCTCGAAGTCGATGTAGTTCAATCCTGTAGCATCATCTTACATTTCATGGGAGCGAATCGCATGCCAAACATTCGAAGATTTCTGCTCCCCAAGGAGTTCAGAAGATTCCAAATTCTGTCGCCGTCTTCACCTAGAAAGACTGTATCATCCACATATTCCAAGTCAGTGAGATTACTCCCTGGTAACAAGTCAAGCCCTGAGTCGCTGAAGTCACTTAGGGTTAATTCCATTAATACGATATCTGTGATGAAATTAAATAGAAATGGGGATAGTGGGATTGCCTGACGTACACCATTAGTTGTCGCCACTGCAGCTGATAACTCGCCATAAGCTCTTACTTGGCTGCATGAATTCGAGTAGGGTGTCTTGATCAGTGCAATATATTTTCTCGGTATTCTCTTCACAGCTAAACATCACCATAGCTACTCTCAGTTGACGAAATCTAGTGCAGCTTTCATGTCAAGAATTGATCGATGGATAGCTAGCTCCAAGTGTGAATTACTATCACTAACATTCAAACATACATTGTTTACAAGAAATATCTTCTCAGTAAATAATTTTATACTTTTTAAAACTAAAAAATGCAGTTTGAAAAAAAAGATTAATAGAAAGTACTACAGAGAATGTTCAGTATTTTTGGTTTATAAAATATATAAATAGAGAGAAATCAAAAGTTCAGTTGTGAAAAATTCAAGGCATTTTAAAATATCCAGGATATAAACAGTGAAATGCAAAGCTACTAAAATACGTCATGTAAAAGCGTGATAAAAAAAACAACAACGAAAAAACAAACATACTAACAGTTGTGATTGTCAAATCATCTCATGCGAACTTCTTACATAATCCACACAGGAAGGCTTTTTGAGTTCATCGATAGCATTCTGTACCATACAGGTTGCTTTTGTAACAATTGATAAAGTTTATGATTAGCCTTAGAAAAGTGTAAATTCATCAATTTCGGTATTAAAACTTCACGATCCAACCGCTCATATACTCTTCCTTTACTCTGACCTAAGCAACTGTCATGGTAACGGTGCTGCTGCCTTTGTTGTTGTTGGCCTTGTACCATTCTCGGAGATGTACAGTAAAAACCCTTCTTTGAATTGAAGCTGAAACAGAAATAGAGTAAAGACCAGTGTTTGAATTCCACTGATTTTTTTTTCCGTGTTCATATCTATATTAAACTCAAAAGAAAGCTTTCTAAAACTACATGATACCATATTTTATTTTTTATTTACTTTTGGTTACAGCTTGATTCCACACCCTATTTTTTGGTACAGGTATGGAATTTTCAGCATGTGATATCGGTAGCCTAAATTTTGCAGGCCGACCATAGATACCAGGTGTGCGTCTGCAAGGGATCGAACCCCGGACCATGTACATGGTCGGCGAGAGTCCTAACCACTGTGCCACCGACACATATACTGATTAAAGTAAATTTCTCAGCATCCTTATATATCTGATATTCTAGTTAGAGTTCGTAAGTTTTATAACCGACTGAGGTCTGCACGATGACCACAATACACGTTAATATGTTGCCTAAGGAATTGGTTAATTTAAAGAAATTCAATCAGTTGCAGAGTTGTAACACAACTACAAGGCACTTCTGTCTTCAAAAGATCATCTTAACTGTCACTGGTTGATTAACCTGATGATATTTAATTACATTTAGAATAATTTCGACATTGTTTAGTTCATGTATTTCACCGTTTTACATTTTTCTGATACTTTCCAAAAATAAACCAGTTTATCAAATAAACGATCTAATTTCTTTTTGTTATCCATACAAAGGGTGACTGATGTGGTATTTCAACTTCGTAAATCGACCACATTTCATTACTTTCCATACAAAGTCATCATCACATCTGTTGTAGATGGAATAATGTTCGGAAGTGTTCAATAACGTCGTAATTTGAAGTGCTTATTTCTAGACAATTAAATGTCCACTACAATCTACCTTTGTCAAAGATAACCTAGACACCGAAAATTTACAAATAGCATACTTCAGAGTGTTAGCGAACATCATCTTAGAAAGTCCACTTCTCATAATTATCACATATCAGGTTGGTGTTAACACAGAGCAATGCAAAAGATAATTAGCTTTGTAGTTGCATAAGCAAAATGCGACTTTATGAAAGGTGAGTTGTCTTGCTCAAAAAGGTAAATAAAACACAACAGTTGTTTTAAAAGCACAGGAGAAAGAAGTGGACAAAAACAGATTGGGATTAAAATTAAAGCCGGTATAATAAGAGAATATACTTGCATAATTCTCTTAATTTTCAAATCACATAACCAAGTCTCCAGCTATAGACTTTGACAGTCTAAACCAGGATGTGTACTTTTCCTACTTGACTCATATTAATGTCCTAAAGCCCTATAAATCTATGTCATGTCTTTCCAGCTGCTCACACACACTGTAGAAAATTTCTTTTTTATTGCAGTAATTGAAGGAGAGAAAGCATGAACTCCATGCGACGACAGAGCTCGGGAAACGTCTGACTGGAGTCTATAACATATGGTTTGGTGAAGGTAGGTCTGCATGTGTAGTCCTTGAGGTCTTTACTTTACCGAATGAAAAGACAATAATCGATATAGTGGGTAACAGAAAGAAATACCTTACCGTCAACAAACCTCTTTATATCAGAAGTAAAACTTGTCGCTTAGACACTCACTATAGTGTTAAACGTTCACAATATCAATGGCAAATACACGTTCACTCTTATTTCTGTGCAACCGACTTATCTACCATGATATGACCGCCAAGAGTAATTGTTGTGGCAAATACACATGACTACATTTTTACGATATGCAATACGGATTATCATTTTTAGGTGGCTGTTAGAGTTTAGAAAACATGATGCACCAAAAGTCTTTGCTTAACTTACTGTAAATACTGTGAATAATCCAACTGTCGACGGAGCGATAAAAACTGTTGCACTATCTCCATAGCAGGTACAGGATTTTGAGAAAACTTGTCAGCATCTAATAGTAATATCTGAAAAGAAGTTTCACAGACATAAATAAACACGCCAACTAGGACTGGAGTAGTAGTAATTCAAAGACATTAACACGACATAAAACTGCAGTTTGATTGGTTGCTCTGCAAAATCTTAAACAGTACATCTTCAAATAATGTCGACAACATGTTAAAAAATATAAATGAATCATTAAATCATAATACAGACAAGAAAGGTGAAATGAAATAAACACAACTGTCAAAAATCAACCTCCATTTTGCATCAACGCATACCTTGATATCCTCTAAACGTACCCGGTTCAATTAATTAAAAGGGTATAAAAACAGAATTTCTAGAAAAAAGTATGTTTTTTTCCTTCACGTTTCCCAGTAGAACATAGGGCTTCAAGCTAGTGGCTTGAAGTTTCTGTAGCAGTAGAGAAATGTAACATTGTACAACACAAGACACATCCTTGAAAAAAGTCATAAAATTCTGATGAAGTGCAGAACTACGTAGATTTCTATCACATATGGCGTTACATCAACGTCTAAACAATGTATACCTTTGATTACAAAGGTAATTAGTCGGACACAGCGTTAAAGCACATCATTTGTAAATAACACAGGATTGAATGCCATGTATATAATAAGTTGGTCTTATGTTGGGAGTGTTCTCTCACTGATCATAACCACTTACATCTTTTAAGTGAAATAACACTCCTGCACACAGAGAGACACTGGCTGCCTAATCCATCTATCCAGAAAATATTATTCCTGTGTTAATAAAAGTGTGGTGAGAGCTGGAGGCTGCTAGCCAAACTGGTAGACAATAATTTACGTCCCTAATATTGGTCATGAGAAAAATAAGAATAAAGACTGACTTAACAACCAATCGCAGAAGACTTTGCGTAGGCGGATACATTTTGCAGATAGATAATCTGAACTTCAAGAAACGGCCACAAACAGATGAAAAAATTAATGTTCAGCGAGAAACCACCAATCAGAAGACTGTGTTTGTCTCCATAATATAATCTATAATAATGTACATGAAAATATAAATATCTGTTGATTTCGTAAACAAACGATCTGTTGCCTGGCCCTTGTCTTCTGTTGTTACAAAATTACCTTTTAGATAGAAAAAATATGTATGTATATTTGCGATATATAAGCAACTTTGCTGTTACAAAAAGGCTTTTGAACCCCTACCCGTTAACTAGTTGGTTAAAATTAAATGAAACAGCATAGACAGACAATAGATACATATTTCAGTTGAACACTTAAAGATTATTTATTCCCAAGTAGTTCTGCATGCCTTGGTATTTTAAACTTCTTCTTAGTTATAAACTAATCAATCAGTTTAGTTAAATACTTAGGATATACTGATTATCTGTATTCCTTAGAGTTTAAAATGTTATTATTATTGTTCCCTTGGGTTCCTAATGGAACATAGGGCTTCAACTAAATGTCTCCAATTGCTTCTGTCTTCTGCTGTACTTTTCACCTGCATCCATGTTAATCCATACTGCTTCAACTCCTCTTCACATTATCTCTTCCATGTCACCCTTGCACTGACGTCCCACTCGCCGCTTCCATTTCGGCCTGGTTCCACTTGAGCAATGGCCTGACGCGCGCGCGATGTCACCCAGCGGCCTCCTCAGCGAGTGTCCAATCCATCTCCACTTTCTCTTGCATATTTGTTGGGCGATTGCTTCTTGTTTTGTTTCTTCCCATAGTTCCTTGTTGGTGATTCTTTCCGGCCCAGCCATCTGATCTTCAGTATAGAGCGAAGACAGTTGTTGGTTGATAAAGGTCTGGTCTGCAACAGGCTGTTGGAAATATTCTTTGTGACCCGCCCGCCAAGTTTCTCATCCGTATAGAAGAGCTGACTTGACGTTTGTATTGAAAATCCGACTGTCTGTCTGGATTCAACATAGAACTTGGCACCAAGTGCAGCAGTTCGAGTTACCACGTTCCAAATAGCACACAGAGGTAGACAAGAAGATGAGTGAAGAGAATCAATATATCTGCGCCATTGAAAACGATTTTGAGCCATGTCACCTATTGTCTCCAGCCATTGATTCCTAGAGCCCCGAGGGCCCCAACCCGGAAGTCTGCATCTCCCTACCTACCTGACTCACTTTAACTGTCAAGGATTTCATGGATTGATGTCATGTTTTTGTGTGGCCACCACTGGCTCTTTTCCAACCTGCACCTATATCAGCTAGTAATGCCCGTAGGGGGAGGCGATAGTTAGGCACGCGCACCACGTGACCTAGCCATCTCAATCTATGTAACTTTATAGCCTCGTCGATTGATTTTCCCTCTTTGCCCAACACTCTACGCCTAACGTCAGCATTAACTACCTTATCATACCACCTAACGTGAGACAGAGATCGCAGACATCTATGATCGAAAGCAGTCAACCTTTTCATGTATTCAACTCGTATTGGCCATGTTTCAGAGCCATAGAAAAAGACGGAGCGAACTGCTGAGCAGTACACGCGTCCCTTGGTTGATAGCCGGATGTCACGCCTACGCCAGAGGTGGTGTAAGTCAGCGAAAGCAGCTCGAGCTTTTTGGATCCGTGCTGAGATTTCGCCGCCAATCAGTCCGTTGGTGCTGATACAACTTCCCAAATAGGTGAAGTGGTCAACATGTTCTATCACTTCACTCCCTATCACTAAGCTACGAGTTGACGTAGTCCAGTCCAGTCCAGTAGCAGCATCTTACATTTTACAGGGGCGAATCGCATGCCAAACATACGAAGATTGCTGCTCAAGGTGTTCAGAAGACTCTGCATTTTGTCAGAATCCTCCTGTAACAGGACTATATCATCTGCATATTCTAAGTCCATAAGACTATTTATTCCCTGGTAACAAGTCGATTCCTAAGTCATTACGTTCAGTTAAGGATACTTCCATCAGCATATCAATGATGAAATTAAACAGGAATGGGGAAAGTGGACATCCCTGTCGGACACAAATGGTTGTTATCAATTCAGATGACAATTCCCCATAAGCCCTTACACGGCTACATGAGTTTGAATAGAGTGCCTTGATTAGTGCAATGTACTTTCTTGGCACTCCCTTCACAGTCAGACATTGCCATAGTACCTTTCGATCCACGGAGTCGAAGGCCACCTTCAAGTCAAGAAATATGACAATTGTCGGATGCCGAAAAGTGTGTCTATGTTCTAGAATCTGTCGAAGAGTGAAGATATGATCTACCTGGTCTAAAGCCTGCTTGATTTTCCCTTGTCTGTTCCTCCCGAGTTCTGCTTAGCCTATGCATGATTACTGAGCCTAGGATTTTAGAAACTATGTTCGTTAGGCTGATTCCCCTATGATTATCACACGAGGACTTGTTCCCCTTCTTGAATATCGGTATAATAAGTGACTGGATTTCGTTGTTGATGCTGAGTGACGAAGATTTCCAGATTGGTTTCAGTTTGATAAATGTGTTTCTCGCCTTCCCGATTCTCACTCGATTTGACATCCTCGTCCGTTCGAACTTCCTGTAGTTGAGACAATGCTCCTTAGATACTTGAGTGAATGAAGTGACCTCTTTCAAATCCCTCCCGTTGATAGTGATTGGCGCTTGATGTTGGTGATGTTGTTGTTGGCTGATTATTTTCATAACCTCCGTCTTGTCTATGTTCACTTGGAGTCCTATCTTCGCTGACTGCTTCTTCGACCAGTTTGTCGGTTTTCGCTTGTAAGTCTTCGATTTTGTGTGACATCAAATAAAAATCATCGACGCGCGAAATCCAAGTCTTCTTCACTTCGGTCCAGGATATCCCCGTCTTCTCGTTTCCCACTGTCTGAGGCATAATCCAGTCAACCACAATTAGGAAACTCTCTTACGAGAGTTTAAAATATAGTAACTTGAAATAATAGACTATCGTTCAACAGTTATTGTAGTACACATTGATCTCTATCATATTATCTCTATACAAAAGTTTGTTTCTACATGAAAGTCAATCGCTCTTCGCTAAGTAGGCAGCAGAAAGTTAAGATATTCATGCAACATTACTTTATTGTGTAGATGTGCCATCAGCCAATATGAGTGTTGCAGAAAGAATAATTTAGTGAACACTTTAGAAGAGACAATACACATAACCATTCAGAATAATTGTAAATCAAATTTTTATTTATTTTTGTTTTTTATTTTGATTACAACTTGATTCCACACCGTATTTTTGGTACAAGTATGAAATTTTCAGCATGTGATATCGTTAGCCCAAATTTTGCAGGCCGACTACAGATATCAGAGTGTGCGTCGGCAAGGAATGGAACCTAGGATCATGTGCATGGTCGGCGAGAGTCCTAACCGCTGTGCCACCGACGCAAGAGTATTCAGTGTCAGCATTGTGAGAATCCTCATTCGGTAACACCTCAAACCAATAATTAGTAACTATATGTTGCATTTCTGAAGGCACCTGACACAAATATCTTAGACCGATATTCTAACTTGTAACTCAACGTGAAAAGTACCCAGAACAGAACCCTATGTAATCCAATCCCACATTAATTTGCTTATCGAAAATATCATGCAGTGAAACAGTATTATTCACTCGATGACGTTTGAGAAACACAACTTTATGCTCATAATCAGATCAATTGTTAGTACTCAATTTGTGTACTTGTTGTTCTTCCATCGTATTTGTAGCAAGCGTAGTGGAGTTTTCCAGGTGTTCAGGAGAAGCATCTCATCATTCCTAATGAACGTATCCTCAGCTGACTCCATGCGGAGTTCCAGTCATCAATCCTTTCACTCCGTTACAACAGATTTTAGTAATATTATTTTGTCACCTCCTATTATACAGTTGTGTCACTATTTATTTATTATTTATTTATTTATTTTTTTGATTTACAGCTTGATTCCACACTGTATTTTTGCTACAAGTATGGAATTTTCAGCATGGATATCGGTAGCCCAAATTTTGAAGGCCGACCATAGATATCAGGTGTGCGCCAGCGTGGGCTCGAACCCCGGACCATGTGCATGGTCGGCGAGAGTCCTAACCACTGTGCCACCGACGCACAGTACTGAGAATTCTTCAACATTTTGCGCTCCGCTAATCTAAACCACCCTGGCATATCACTTTGAGCTCACAATCATTTCAAGGTATTGGATAATGTGAATTGATTTGTTTACTGGGCTTCACAGAATTTGAACACCACTTTTATTCTCACTTTTTTAAGAATTGATATTTTAAATTCCACCCCCCCCGCCGCCCTAATAACTGAAGTTTTATTTATGGAATCAACTGAGAATACGTTCAGTAGGAATATTTAGATGTTTCCCCCGAACATCTGGAAAATCCTACTACCCTTACAATGAATATGATGGGAGAAGGACAACTAAGAGAATTTAATTTCGAAGTTGAATACTTACAATTGATATGGTTATAAACAATAAACTGTGTTCCAAACATCATCCAGTGAATAACACTATTTCACTGAGGAATATGTATTCAATAAGCAAATTAATAAAGAATTACATATCACCACAGTGTACAAGTTTTACACATATATTTTAAGCAGTTTATGTATTTTGTCAAAATATGCACGTGATTTCTTAAATAGCCCATTCTTGTGAGCACTTCAAAGCTCTCTATTATTTCCGAATATTTAACAAGGTAGATTTGCCATTGCTCACCGTTAAAACTTTAATAACACTTTCATTTAACGGGTTGTGATTTTTAGAGTCCTAAATCACTTTTCATTTACGTCATCAAGAAAAAGATCGATACAGTAACTTCGTGACTCACCCTTAGTATTCACTTGATAATCAACATATGTAGACAAAAGTATTATTGGGGAAACTATAAGTTACAGAATGGATAACTCCGTCTTACATTTGGTTAGCAGAATCAACAAAGTGAAATACAGACTGCCCGACAGTTGCAAATAAAAGTCTTTGTTTTGGGTCCAGAATTTCCAGTAGACTAATCCCTAACACTTCTAACTAGGCAGAGTACGTTGCTGTGCTTCAACTAGAGGCTACACTACACAGGCTTTGGTGACCTTTCCATAACTATTGACTAGCTACTTCGCCAGGGATTATAGTATGAATTCTGAGTTTATTACATTCGCTTATTTCGACAGTTAAAAGTAATATTTACCGATATCTACAGTTCGCTCATCTCTATAAATCCATTCCGACTGATGCTGCTGAGATGTTCGCTAGCTTTTCACTCCTCGAAATCGATTTTCTTGTTAACTACAAACTTACATTCAATGTTAAATCCATCACCACCGAATTTAGATATAATTTCATGCGTAAAATATTGTTTCATAGCTATACAGAGTGAACACACAAACTCATTATTAATAATCTCTGTTCCAGAGTCATATTTAGGCTTTACCTACCTGGGAAGCATCCCTTCAACTACAGGCGGACGACACTAACGAGGATATCAATGCAAGAATCGGAAAAGCAAAACAAGCTTTCATTACTCTCACCAAGTCTGTGTGGAGGTCAACATCACTCACCATCAAAAATAAGATCCGGATCTTCAACTCCAATGTGAAGTCAGTCAGTGCTACTTTCTATGCGGATCACAGACTTGGCCAGCGCGTCATAAACAGCATCTCAAACAAACTTCAGACCTTCATTAACAGTTGTCTTCGCTCAGTACTCCGGTCAAGATCAGATGGCCGACCTGAAAAGATCAGCAACAGGGAGGGATCTCTGTCAATGAGCAAACCAACTCAGCAGGAACCGATTGTGAAACAATTAGGCAGAAAGAAATGGAGATGGATTGGCTGGCCATACTCTGAGGAAACCATCAAGTGACATCATTAGACGAGCCATCGCTCGAGTGGAACCCGAAAGAAAAGCGGGCGGCGAGTTGGTCGTCAGTGATAGGGTGGGGTGACTTGGAGGAGGTCATGTGAAGGGGAGATGAAAGCATATGGGCAGACTTGGAGCGGGGTGAAAAAGTTGACAGAAAACAGAAGGGAATGGAGACGCGCAGCTGAAGCCCTATGTTCCTCTAGGAATTAAAGGATATTATAATAATAATAGTAATAATAATAATAAAAGGTTAACATATAAGTAGAGTGAATGCACAAACCTGTGAAGCTGGAAAATAATTCAACCAGTTGAGTAAGTGTTGTTCATAATTTCCTGGACCAGTACACCGTGACCATAAGTGATGGATACTTGAAACAATACTCTTTAGCATATCTGAATCTCTAATGTCGATGGAGAATTTTTGAGTTTTTCAGCAGATACAATAGTCAGTAGATCGGTTTCAGTTAGATTATGACCGTATAGCATTAAATCATTGAAGGATAAAAGTTGTGGCGCGATATCTCGATGGGCAAGACGATGCTTTGGGAGTAAAAAACAAACAAACAATAAGAGATCAATGAAAATGTAGAACACGTAAGATTCCTGAACGAATAATCAGTTCATACTTATTTGTAGAGAGCGAAAGAGAGAAAATAGTGAGTATTAATTGCCTTTATGCTCTCTAGAAAAATCGATTATAGTTATTGTATATCAACTGCTATTTGCATATTTCGTATATACGAGCGAATTATGCCTAATCAAAGCAAGTGATTCAGTGACGAGACCATTTTTCAACGAATTTATTAGCAAGCTGTACAATCGAATATATATATATATATATATATATATATATATATATATATATGGCTTTTAAGAAATTATAACCGTTGAGGAAATTGACTGAGGTGTGAATGCATATTATTTGTAATAACGACTATAATTTGAGTAATATATTAAATCCACTTAATGGTTGCCATCCAGCGATAAAATTCACACTCGAAATGGAAAAGGAGTATAGCATTCATTGCCTAGATGTGAACTTATCGAGGAGGACCGATGGGACCCTAAGGAGGTCGATGTGCAGAAAGCAGTCATGGAATGGTCAATTGACAAATTTTAACAGCTGAGTATCCATTGGTCGAAAACGAAACCTGATCCGGCTACTTGTCCCTAACACTCGGCGCATATGCAGCCATTATGATGTGGAGAAAGAGTTAAATGCCCTAAGAAAAATCCTAGTAGAAAATGGATTTCCGACACGTTTTATAAAGAAGAACATACAGCCAAAACTTAAGAAATGTAACTTAACGTCTATCAATCAAGAAAATGCTGTACACGAGCCTGGAATTCAAAGGTGACTTCGCCGCCCAAATCATTAAAAGAAGGACGTCATAGTCCCTGAGAAAGATATCCCCTGCTACATCGTTGAGAAAAGCGTTTTCTAATTGACCATTACTTTTCAGCAATCTGAGGGACAAGATCCCGCAGTTAACAAAATCTCTACGTTTATCGACCTGCCTGATCGTGTGAAGCTAGGTATATCCGTCGTCCGACTCGAGTTTTGCCCACGAGACTGCATGAACACTATCCTGCATGGTTACAAAGAGGTGGAAGCGGGGATATAAGAAGCGCGAACATTGAACGTCTGGTCGATAATCATCACCCTATCTCTACAAAGCCAGTCTTTAAAGTCATCTACAAGGCGAAAAGTAGTCTGTCGAAATCACCACGTATCTGACTCATTTGTATTGCTGAAGCACTGGTCATCGAAACAGAAAAGCCAGATCTCTGTGTACAGAAAAAGTTCGTTCAACCCCTCCAACTTTCATGGTCTTAATCCCTCTATGCTAAAGTGTGACAATCCCAATTCATATTCTGGCTCAACTTATTTTTCATTTCGTCTATTCAATTTGTATACTCATCAATTATAACGTCAATTGTTACTATTACTATTCTCACTTTGAACTGTCACCGGTATTATTTCACTTGTCACTCGAAATCAATTTTGTCTTACGACGTTAGATTCTATGTTATCTTATTTCATACAATGTAACGTAACGTCTTTATTTTCATTCTATTCGCCTACTAATCCTATAATTTCACACTTCTTCCAACTTCTGGACATCTTATGAATTGTTCTATGTATGATATTAATTGCTTTTCCAATTAATATTTAACAATGGTTATAATCACAAACATTTTAATTTTAATTGCATTTCATACCCTTATCATTATTCCCTTGGGTTTCGAATGAAACATGCGTCTTCAACAGCACATCTCCACTTTTTCCTATCTTCTGCTATCCTCTTCAGCTTGGTCCACGTTGGATGTCATCCAACGGTCTCCTCAGCGTTTGTCCAATTTATCTCCATTTTCTTCGCCATATTTGTCGAGCGGTCGGCTCTTAGTTTGTTCCAGGAGTATTTTGGTACTAACCTCTTCTGGTAATTTGGTCTTCATTATGGAGCCAGCGAAGGCAGCTGTCGATGGAAGTCTACAGTAGCCTGTTAGAAATCCTCTCCGTGACACGCTAGTCAAGTTTCTGACCACTGTGGAAGGATCGGCTTCAGATTGGTGTTAAAAATACGAATCTTAGACTTTGTGCTGCGGAGTGCATAATATTTTCAAACTGGTTTCAGATTGATGAAGGTCTATCTTGCACTTCTGATTCGGACTTCGACATCTTTATCCGTTCCGCCTGTAGCTGAAACTATGCTTCCAAGATGAGTGAAGAAGGTAACCTCTGTTAAATCTCTCCCGTTGTTGGTGATTGATGCTGGTTGTTGCGGTTCGTTGGTTAACTTCATCACCTCCGTCTTCTATATGTTCACTTGAAGTCCCATCTTCGTCTCCACCTTCTACTGTTAGATTGTTGGTTTTCGCCTGTAAGTCTTCGAGTCTGTATGATTATTATTATTATATCCTTTAACTCCTAGAGGAACATAGGGCTTCAACTGCGCGTCTCCATTCCCTTCTGTTTTCTGTCAACTTTTTCACCTCGCTCCAAGTCTGCCCACAGGCTTTCATCTCCCTTCACATGACCTCCTCCAAGTCACCCCAACCTATCACTGACGGCCAACTCGCCGCCCGCTTCCCTTTCGGGTTCCACTCGAGCGATGGCTCGTCTAATGATGTCACTTGATGGTTTCCTCAGAGTATGGCCAGCCAATCCATCTCCATTTCTTCCTGCCTAAATGTTTCACAATCGGTTCCTGCTGAGTTGGTTTGCTCATTGACAGAGATCCCTCCCTGTTGCTGATCTTTTCAGGTCGGCCATCTGATCTTGACCGGAGTACTGAGCGAAGACAACTGTTAATGAAGGTCTGAAGTTTGTTTGAGATGCTGTTTATGACGCGCTGGCCAAGTCTGTGATCCGCATAGAAAGTAGCACTGACTGACTTCACATTGGAGTTGAAGATCCGGATCTTATTTTTGATGGTGAGTGATGTTGACCTCCACACAGACTTGGTGAGAGTAATGAAAGCTTGTTTTGCTTTTCCGATTCTTGCTTTGATATCCTCGTTAGTGTCGTCCGCCTGTAGTTGAAACGATGCTTCCCAGTCCGGGTAGGTAAAGGAGGTTGTTTCTTTCAGGTTCCTCCCATTTATGCTGGCTGATTGTTGTTGTTGTTGTTGTGGCTGTTGGTGGTTTTGGCCAGGAATCTTCATCACCTCTGTTTTATCTATGTTCACCTGAAGTCCTATTTTCTCGGGATGCTTCCTCTGCCAACTTGTTGCTGCTTTTGACTTGCATATCTTCCAGTTTGTGGGAAATCAGACATATATATGTCATCAAGGGCGAAGTCCAGATCCTCCAAGTCTCTTTTTGTGTGAGTCCATTTTATGCCTGTTTCCTCATCGCCCGCTACTGTCTGTCGCATTATCCAATCTACTGCAACCAGGAAAATCATTGGCGATAGTAGGCAGCCTTGCCTCACTCCCGTTCTCACTTCGAAGGCTTCCGAAAGTTTCCCGTTGTGGATTACTTGGCATACAGAATTGTCGTATAACTGTTGGATGAGATGTATAATTGTCGATGACACCCCGTAGTAGCGAAGTAGTTTCTAAATCACCTCTCGATCGACGCTGTCTATCGAAGGCCTTTTCAAAGTCGATGAAGTTGAGTTAGAGAGGTGACTGCCATTCCAAGCTTTGTTCAATGATGATCCGTAGAGTGGCGATTTGATCAATACATGATTTGTTTCTCCTCAATCCGGCCTGTTGCGGTCGAAGTTTTTCATCCAGCGTGGCGTGTTCGATTCTCTCCAGGATGATGTGGCTTAGTATTTTGCTTGGGATAGATAGGAGCATAATTCCGCGCCAGTTTTTACATTGACTTATGTCTCTTTTCTTTGGTAGTTTGAATAAGTATCCTTTCTTCCAATCCTCAAGTACTTTACCCTCTTTCCACACCTTCTCTAGCAATGGGGTCATCAAGTCCGCTGTTGTCTCTGGGTCCATTTGCAATGCTTCTGCTGGGATTCCATCTGGTCCTGGTGCTTTTCCAGCTTTTAGCATCTTGATTGTATTCAGGACTTCTGAGTTTGTCGGGGGAGCAATGTTCACTGGTAGTTCTGCTTCTGTTGTTGGTATTGTTGGGCGCGTTGTATGATACTAGACAGAAATCATCTGCGAAGTACAGATCTTCTAGAGTCTAAGGTGGTCCAACGTATTCCTGTCTCCTCGCTACCCACAGTCTGATGAATAATCCAGTCCACCACAATTAGGAATATCATAGGTGATAGTAGTGGGAAGTCTTGTCTTACTCCTCTATGCACTTCGAACGCCTCGTGGAGTTTTCCGTTGTGGATCACTTGACAATTGGCATTGTCGTATAGCCAGCTGTTGAATGAGGTTGATAAAGACTTGGGCACTACATGCCACAATGTCTAGGTAGTGTCCAAATTACTTCTTGGTCAACGCTGTGTAGTGAAGGCCTTTCCGAAGTCGATGAAGGAAGTTGAGGTGGAGGTTTGACTGCCATTTTATGCTTTGTTCGATGACGATGCGTAGAGTTGCAATTTGATCGGCACATGATTTTCCTTTCCTGAATCCAGCTTGTTCCTGTGGGCAGAGTTCTGTATCCAATGTATCCTTTATCCTCTCCGGGATGATGCGACTTAGTATTTACTGGCCATGGCCACGCCAGTTCATGCAGAGTGAAACCTAAGTCGCCCCTCTCTGGCAGCTTGACAAGGTAGCCTTTTTTCCAATAGGTAGGTACCTTTCTTTCTTTCCAAACCTCTTGCAATAATGGCGTGGGCACATCTGCCTCAGTCTCTGGGTCTGTTTTCAGTGCTTCAGAGGGGGATTCCGTCTGGTCCCGCTGCCTACCCGACTTCAGTAGCTTGATCGCAATCAGGTTTTCTGTTTTCGTCGGAGAACTGGTGTCCACTGACAGGCAGTTCTGTGCATGCTGTTGGTAGTGGTGTATATTTGGTCGATTTGCAAGTGATGTTCGATTCAATAGTCCTTCAATCCATTGTTTATCTCTCCCTCTCATGTTTGGTAATTAAGTTCCCTTGACCATCTTTTATAGGCATCACCTGCGTTGTTCTCTTCTTGGATAGAGATCTTGTTATCTGATATAATCTCCTGAGGCCTCTTTTACCTGCACCTTGCCCGTTCTGCTTCAGCTGCCGGCCAGTGTGTGTGTATGTGGTAGAATTGTCTTTTGTCTTTCCTGGAACTCTTCTTCACACTTATTTTACACTGAGAAGATTGTTTAAAGTAGATAATAACTATCTAAATACACTGGTTGTCAAGTAAATATAACACCAATGTATTGTAAAGGTTGAGTAGTTATGTCGAACAATCATAAAACACCCAATATCACACAGTGACACGAAGAAGGATATAATATAAACCATTCAGGCGGTAGAGAAATTTCCTCTTTGATCAGATAGCGAAATATGACAGGAAAAACTAAAAGTTAGAAATGTAAACTTGTTCGAATTAAAATGTTGAATTTACATAAACAAAAAAGCTCACCTGGTACCATGAATACGCTCTATCCACCGGATTACGAAGAAGCACAATCAGTTTTATTTTCGGCATTAAGGCATGAATTCGGGCTGGAGACTTAGGACTATCAAAATATGTAGCTGACTTTTCAAATCGCATAAAGGGACATCTTCGTCTGTAGAGTAAGTATCGTTAACGATTCTTTCATTTCGTTGGACATCACTAAGTGGTAACATTGAAGCATTTGAAAACTGATTCATATACCAATGTACACCACGTGAATAAATATCATCAGAACTGAAAAACTGTAGTTCTTCAAAAGTAGAATTATGTTGGAATCGATTAGCAATTAATTCAGGATGCAACAACAGAAATTGTAGTAAAGCTGTTGAGCCTGGTAAAAAAAATGGTAAAAACACACATACACACAATTACTGATCCAGATGAAGCAAGTGACGTTAAACAGAACGTAAAACACTCTAAGACTTAGATCAGTGGCCACTAGTTGGCGCTATAGCGCCCAAGTTAATTAAACAGGTACAAAACCTAACCGCTAAGCAGAGCTACAATAGGCATAAGAATAATTAATGCGATACGCCTAAGTCATTTAGATACAAACTGTGTTCTGTTTTAAATCTCATAATACACATCAATATTGCCAAAGATGTTCCAGTTTCCTCATATCTTATCAAATCTAGCCATAGAAATAACACTGAGGTAACCTGCTACCAACAGTTTCTTATAGATTAGTCTTTCACTTGTTCGGTGAGTTGATCACATTATTCACAATTCCACAAGTAATAGGATAATATATATATATATATTACAGTGTATTTCAGGAAATACTATGCACATAACTTCCAGTGAATTATCAGATATGTCCAGCGATGATTATTCATTTTTTAACACACTCTAACAAAAGCGACTGAATATCAAAATAATCTTACATAATAATGTGCACAAAAGCATAATGTGGACAAGAAGAGGATGAATTATGCAGCATGTTAATTCAGTAGAATGATTATTTCACATAATCAGTTCCCTTGATAAGTTTGAATAACGCAATCACAAAAACTTTTGCAGGTTAACATGAATGCATTTTATTTCATAGGGTCTTCATCAGCTACATATTCCTTGAATAATAAAAACTGTATAAGCAATCAGGGTGTAACATAATTTGAACATACTTTAAATGAGTCAGTTGACTTTATAACAGTGAAATAATACACTGAAAACGGAGATTGACTGGTTTCAACATAGAATTTTGCACAAAAATGCAAAAATTCAACTTACCACACCCCATGTATCACACAAATGAAGACAAAAAAAGAGATGCAAAAGAGTGATTATAAGCAGGAGTGTAAGGGGGAAAGAATGGTTAAATGAAAAACAATGGGGTTTTTTCACTACATGGCAGATTATAACGAGTGAATGCATCTGGACCACTAAAATCGATTTCGAGCCATATCACCAACTGTCTCCAGTCAGTGATTTTTGACATCCTGAGGACCCCAACCAGACAGTCTACACCTCCCTACATGGCTTAAACTGACGGTTGAGGATTTCATTGACTGATGAAGCCATGTTTTGGTTTGACAATCACTAGCTCTTTTTAACCTGATCTTATATCAGCTAACATTGCCCGTCAAGGAAGGCGATAGCTAGACATGCGTAAAAGGTATCCTAGGCATCTCAACCGATACAGCCTTACAACCTCATAGAGTGACAGTTGAAGTACAAATTTTACACAAAGTTGGAATAATCAATTATGATTAAAAAGGAGAGGAAAAAGTCCTGGAATTCAAGGATAACGCAGGCATAAGTGGAGATTATTAGGTAGTCATGTAGAAAGTTATTCAAAGAAAATAAGGTCTTTATTCTTCCCACTTATTTGCTATTGCATTTACATATGATTTCATAAACAAATCAGGAGCTAATGAGAGCGGAAAATTGGTCTAGTTTAGACTATGTAGGTGAACAGACTGTTTTATACAGGAGCACTAGTTTGGAGGTTGTATACGTCCTTGATACTGGAGTCTCCTATTCATCACCTTTGAATTCTAACTGAAGGAACAATGGTTTCCAATTACCACCTTTACACTACTTATCTACGAATAGTTCTGAATATCCATTGTCCCTTAAACATTCATTGACGAGATTGATTCCGCTGCGTAATGTTCCTTTGGAGCAAAGGTTTTCTGCTGTCTCTTTTGTAGTTTATAGGGTAGAAGAGGCTGAATTTTAAGTACTGACTACTCCAGATTGTTTGACAATGAATACTCTATTCTGTTGTTCCATCTGCTTTTTTCATGCATAAGTCAAGAAAGTGGAGTTATCCTCTGACTTCATGTGCCATTATGAATCTGATGTTGGAATAAATACTGTTGGACATCTGTGGAATTATTTCTGGATGATGAGCGTCACCAGCTACAATAAAAATAACATCTGTATACCTTGAATAAACCAAACTTGCTGTGAATGCAGAGTTTAAGGTAGTATTTTCTAGATGGGACAGGAAAATATCAGACATTACTGTATCCAACAAACTGCCCATTGCTAATCTGTCTACTTGCCTATATAGCAAGTTAAATTCCAGTTGGACATCTTTGGTATAAGTGAGGAGGAGGAGTTGTCTTATATCAGCCGTTGGTAATGGATGTGTCCTGTACATCGACAGATGATAATCATTGTTTCCTGAAGGGGAATGCTCATAAACAGGGACTGTATACCATAGGATATCATAATTTTCTCGGATACACTGAATTCTTCTTTTCTTTTCACAGAATAAAACGAGTCTTTTAAGGTGTAGGTTGATAATTTTTCCCGAATATTTTCTAGCTTTTGTGCTAACCGGCAAGTAAGTTTATGGTTAGGGAAATTGACTCATAGACAGAATAGGCCTAATAAGTAAGTTCTCGTTATATATTTTTAGTTGTCCACACACTAAAAGTAAACGGGATCCATTAGGGTATGAGTTGGTTGTCGATCAGTTTCTTTTTTTTTGAGTTCCTTAGGCACTTTTGCGATTTGTCTCTCGATGTTTTCTGTCGTATCTTTATTGCTATTGTCCTTTTTTTTAATGTAAATTTATCTACAATAGCTCTGTTTTTTAATGCTAACGTCGCCCAACTAATTCTAACTTGCAGAAAACATGCAACACAACGTTTTCACTTCCAATGCTAGCCTTAACCATCACAGGACAATTCTGTCAGAAGACTCTAAGGGACTAAGGACTAATAGTATACAGAACATGACATAAAGTCTGTGCAATGCTTCTTTAATTTTCCCAGTAGGTTCCTAAACGGTGCTAATTTAGTAAATTGTATGGAGGATTTCACCATGAGCTGACATCAGTTAGAAAACCACTGGAAAACCTGGGAGTACTGGACGACCGTTTCGTCCTAGCATGGGACTCTTCAGCATTACCCACCCACCGGGTTCGAAACCAGGACCTTCTGGTTACAAGGCGATCTCGTAGACCAGATCATGGTGAAGTCCGCCATCCAATCATCAAACAAAATCCCTACAAAACCAATACTTGAAAATTAATCTGATGCTCACTAGCGACTGGCCCTATTCAGGCAGTTAACCTGGGGTTCTAGTGGGAAGCCGTGACCAGTAGGGTACAGCAGGTCAAAGATAGGGCAGTAACTCATCGGAGAAAACATTGCGAAGTGGTCGCGCTATGTTATGAATTGGCAGAAGTTAGAACTCAAGGGCCAAGGGATCGGGTCCCAGTGGCTCAATGGTCTACGAGCTCGCTAGCCTTGTAACGAGAAGGTCCCGGGTTCGAACCACGGGGTGAGTGCATACTGATGAAGAGTCCCAAACTTGGACGAAACAGATGTCCAGTACTCCCACGTTTTCCAGTGGTTCTCTAACTGATGTCAGCTCATGGTGAAATCCCCCATACAATCAAACAAAATCCCTACAAAACCAATACTTGAAAATTTAGTATATGTACCTTGAAATACAAATAAAAAAACGAATTACTCAAGTATATAAAAATATGAAGCAATTCTTCTACATTCATGAAACTGATTAGTGTAATGAGAACTCTGTCAGCATCGAAACAGATTGTTTAGTCATAAGAATATCAGAAAAACATAGTTTACTTTGGAGTTGCATTGACCATCTTCAAAAATGATTACTAAAAGTAACGGAAATGACAATATTGAAGATAACCAAAAATTAGTATACTGAAGCACTGTTTGGGAATGAAAGAACTAGAGCAGAAGGTAGAAGAGTTACATATAAACTAGTTGAAAAGAAACAACCACGAAGCAGCAGAAATTTGCATCACATATGGAGTCACTGACTGTTGATCAAAGTTACAGAGGAAATTTCAGTGGGATTGCTCACATTGTTAGTCGCCAGCGATTGCTAACACGAAACAGCATGCCTTCTAATCAGTGACAACGTGGAGTAATTATTTTCACCAATTATATTCCTAGTACAATTCAGTAGCTAACTACCTCAGTAGTATTAACTATTGTATAAATCGGTTGCTATTAGACAGATTTTAAAAAGCGAAAACTTCGCAGGACACAAAGAATATTTCCAACAGCCTGTTGCATACAAGACCTTATCAACCAACAACTGTCTTCGCTCTATACTCAAGATCAGATGGCCGGGCCGGAAAGAATCACCAACAAGGAACTATGGGAAGAAACAAAACAAGAAGCAATCGCCCAACAAATATGCAAGAGAAAGTGGAGATGGATTGGACACTCGCTGAGGAGGCCGCTGGGTGACATCGCGTCCGCGTCAGACCATTGCTCGAGTGGAACCTGGAATGGAAGCAGCGAATGGGCCGTCAGTGCAAGGGTGACATGGAGGAGATCGTGTGAAGAGGAATTGAGAGAGTATGGACTAACATGGATGCAGGTGAAAAGTACAGCAGAAGACAGAAGCCAGTGGAGACGTGCAGTTGAAGCCCTATGTTCCACTAGGAACCCAAGGAAACAATAATAATAATAAAAATCGGAAACAGGTATTACGAAATACGTAATACATAGATGGAAAATAACACATAAAATAATAACAAACCAGTTTTCTGAGGTCCAATAATAATAAAATTTGGCAAGTGATTTGAACCACACGGCCAGTGACTTGGCCACAATTCATACAGATGTACATTACGACAAGGATCCGAATATAAAGGAAGTTCACTAACGCCATACAACTTGAAACGTTCAATGTATATTTCAGCTAATTCCAGTGGAGATGATGTCACCAGTTTAATATTTGTCCAGTTAGAAATAAATTCAAAGACTGTATTGAATACATACAACGCTAAGCGATCATTTCCATAATTGACAAGGTGTGTCATAAAGATAGAAACCTAAGTAACAAGAATAAATTAAAATGAAGAATTTGTAATATTGGACATGAAGGTATAGGAACAATTCAGATAAACTCTCATTATGACTTAACTTCATCTCATGATAATTTATTGAGTTAAAATAACAAACGATTGATGAGGTATGTTCTTCCTCCTCAGCTTTACTGACAAGGATGTTATCCAGAATCAAAACACACAAATGGTAGTAATTCACACAAAAAAAGTAAGTATTCGCAAGATAAACTATCTACCGACAACAACAGACTAAGAGAATCGCATTTTGGATGGTTTAGGTAGCTCAGTAGCCACATGAACAAACCTAGGTAAGACAACCAGGGTGTTAAATTATGCAAAAGATTACATATTTCAAGAAAGCATTAAATTAATTTGGGATCAGAAAACCTATGGGCAAAAGGCATGCAGTTCAACACAACGTTATGAACACTATTGAATGATATAAAAATAATAATAATAATAATGCAGACAGTAAACATACCGGGTTAAATAGAAATGTGCGAAATAATGCTCCCCCCAAAATATATTCATTCAACTCTTCCATTCCACCTTGGATATCCTCTGGATGTAATGTATGAGCGTAAATTCCACAGGTTTGTCGAGGAAGGACCTACAGAAGCATGTTAACCAATAAATACATAACCGGTAAGATGAACCAAGTCGAAATAAGCAAACACTACACTCACTCAGTCATTCATGTACATTTTGCATCTATTTACTCGTATTTTATTGGTATTTACATATCACATTATGCATTCTAATCGTATTATCCACTCCCGGGATTTTATAAAACGTTTTAAACCCAAAAACTTTCATATTTGCAATAAACTCAAGAAAAAGCACCATGGAGGTTGGCAGCGTGCCTTAAAATCTACACCCATACATCACACCACTGTTCCAGTTATCATTAGTACCAACTGCCGGTCCCTGCCTAATAAAATTCTGGATTTTCAGTCTCTGTTGTCTTCTAGTACCTACCACAATACTGGTATTGTCACTCTACAAGAAACCTGGCTCCATGACTCATACGATGACAATATTGTGTCTCTAAACAATTTCAATGTTTTTCGACAAGACCGTGTTTGTTCCAAGAAAAAATGTGGTGGAGGTGTTGCAACTTTTATTCACTCAAAATGGTCCATTTCTAACAAAGTTTGTTTCAAATTCTCGAATGACTTCATTGATTGCATCACTGTGAGATGTCGCCCGAAACACCTGTCAAAATACAAATTCATTTATATTTCTAATGTTTATGTCTCTCCTGGCTGTACCATATTGGATTTATCTATGTTCGCCGATGAATTCACCGCTTTTGCTGCAGCTTGTTTCGAGAACTCTTTATCAATAGTAACTGGCGACTTCAATGGAAGCGATTGCTCCTTCCTTATATCACTTGGTCATGACAATATTGTTAACTTTGCCACCCGTCTTGGTAAAACACTGGATCTAGTATTTATCAATGATGTTGGTATATATGAAGCTCGCAAACGTGCTCCTTTACTTAACTCTGACCACTGCATCATACGTGTACTGCCTAAAATATATTCCAAATCACACAAAGGTGTCCTCTCTCACCTCTACAGTAAAGTTCAACGGAGATGCTACTCAAAAGACAACCTAGACAAGCTCAGATGCATGTTGAAAGACACTAACTGGGACTTATTTACAGAACAAACATTAGATGAAACAATCACAAACACTACCGATTATCTTAAATTCTGTTTCGAAATATGTTGTCCTAAAGAAACATTATTCATTCGATTTGATCGCTTATCTTCGCCATATCTCAAAAAGCTACGTAGAAATAAAGAACTGTTGTTCAAAACTAATGATAAGCCTGGTGTAAAAAAGTTAAACATGCTGATAAAACTGGAAATAAAAAGACTAAATGTTTTATATAATCAAAGATTTTTGTCATGTAAAACCCCTTCTAATTTATGGAAACTTTTCAAAGAAATTACTAACGGTAAGCGATGTATTTCTGTTCCATCTCTTAATGTTGACACTCTTAATAAATCTTTCATACGCTCTTCTGTTGATACCCTTCCAAATGATACAAATCATATTGACAATAACTTTAGTGGTTTTAATACCCTTGATGTGCTTAAATGTCTCCGGTCTCTTAAGCCTTCTCAAAGCCTTGGTCCTGACGGCATACCTGCCATTGTCCTCAGGAATTGTGCTGATATTTTGTGTTATCCTCTTACTAACATTTTTAATGCTTCTTTTTCCGGTAACGTTCTACCTTTTGCATGGAAAAACATTAAAATTATCCCTATACCAAAACCATCTTCTGGTTCTGATATTAAATTTCGGCCTATTGCAATTACTTCCCCCTTTTTAAAATTGATGGAAAAATTACTTTTACTTCGTCTTGAACCCGCTTTGAAACCTTTTAATGATCCTAAACAATTTGCATACAAACATGGTAGAAGTACCTTGGATGCTGCGGTTGTCTTATATCACAATGTTGTCTCTTGTTTAGACAAAGGTGCTAAATATGTTCGTAGTGCTTTCTTAGACTACACATCTGCTTTTGACTCTGTACCTAGGGGCCTTTTGTTAAATAAGCTATCGTTGACACAAACAGGATCCTGGGCTAAGAGTTGGTTGCATTCCTATTTTTCTGATAGAATGCAGTATACTGTATATAACGGCAAATCTTCTTCTACCTCGCTTACAAAATCCGGTGTTCCACAAGGTGCTGTCCTCTCTCCTTTTCTTTTTTCTTTCTTCCTACATGACCTGCCTCATTCAAACGAAACTAACTTTGTCAAATATGCAGATGATCTGACTGTATCACTGCCTATCACTTCCGAGTCTGACAGCTCCAAACTTAATAGCTTTCTGTTGGACATCAACAACTGGTCCAAGTCAAATGGTCTTATATTAAATCCTTCCAAATGTCAGGCGGTTGACTTTACTTTCAAGCATCGACGTGACTTACTTGAACTAGTTAACTCTCATGATCCCTGTAGCATAGATGGCACGGAAATTGAAACCAAATCAAGCATTAAATACCTTGGATTAGTTTTTTCCTCTGACCTTTCATGGTCATCCCATATCTTATCTATCTCTAAGAAAATGTTTCGTCTTACCTTCTACATTAAAAAGTTAAGACAATCAGGTATCAACCAACCTTTAGTTTTGCAATTTTTAAACTCCTGTATTTTACCTATTGTACTCTATTGCTCTCCATTAATCTTTCCTGGGCTTCTCAAAAAAGATTATATCATATTACGAAGAGTATTAAATGCTGTGAGTAGAGCTTGTGGTCTGCCACTGCATGAGCTCGCTAATACTATAGTCGAGAGGCATATAAATTCCTGTACGAAATGGGCAAAGGCTATAATGTCAGACCCTCTGCACCCCCTTTATTCACACCTGTCCCCTTGTATCTCATCAGGTAGGACGAGAAGTCAATATAAAAAGTTATATGCTCGTACTACTAAGTATAGAAATTCTACAATACCCATTTAGCGCGTACTTTATGTGACGAAGACTCTGTTAGACGTGAAACTTACAAGTTACTATGTAATTAGCACAGTGAATCGACCCTTTTATCGTTCATCTTTCTGTATTTTATGGTGTCACACTTTCTATCGTTTAAATCGTTACTCTGCTATTTTATTTTAGTTGGTATTACTATTATTACTACAATTTTGTACTTTATACATATTTTTCTCCGTATGGCACACAGTATTTTGCTACGTAGCTGCTATAACAATCGTTTTATTACTATTATGTAATGTGTATTTTTAATTTTTTTTGTCGTTTTTGAGTAAATTAGATGCAATATTGTACTGAATGCTGAAAATTCCTTGCTGTATCATGAGTACTGTTTTTGGAATAAAGCAAACATTTATTTATTTATTATATCACTTGTTGCATCATAATTGTTATCACGATGTCATTCAGTTCTGTGGACATAATTTTTACTCCATTAATTCCGGGTAATTTGGTCTTACCGAAAATCAGATTAAGTAATATTATTGATCTAACACTATCAGAAATACAAAAATAGGATAGAAATTTGAAAGTGATTATGAAGTACAGTAAAATAAAGATGAAGAAGAGGAAAGGAAACAATAATGATCACTCTAATCAGTGTGACAAGTTATTAGATGCATAGATAAGACTTTCAAAAGGACATAATTTATTGATACGCCACAATTATCGATGTGATTTAGGAAAAATCATTGTTAATATTGTTATTCCCCTAAATTCTGAGTCGAACATAGGGCTTGCAAAAGCACATATTCCTTCCGTCCTCTTCATTTGGCTCCATGACTGCCTATAAGCCCCGACCTCTTCTTCTCACGACCTCCACGTTATCTCCTCGGACGCCAGAACTTGTCATTTCCCATTTGTATTCCACTCGATGGCCTGGCGGTTAATATCACCCGACGGTTTTCTAAGCGCGCGTCGGATACATTGCCACTTCCTTTAGCATATTTGTTGGGCAGAGTTCTTTGTCTCTTATCCTTTCGGTCGGACGTCTGATCTTCAATACGGGATGAAAGAAGCTGTTGATGAAAGTCTTCAGATTGTTTCAAATGCACCAAAACTCTGAATCATATAGAAACAATGACTTGACATTAATGTTGAAAACTCTAATCTTGTTCTTTATGGTGAATGCAGTAGAAACTATTTGTTTATCTTGTGGACTGCGAGAGGTAATAGTTGACACGCTTTATCACTGTTTTCAATTTTATCTTCTTTTAATATCCGTCATCTTGTACTGTTAGAAAGAAAGTTCTGAACTGCATTAATGCTTGTTGAGTAATTAATCGTCAAACAAAATTTCTATTTTTCAAAATCTCTTTCTCCCAACAAATCCTTCTTAAATCACTTTAGTGTCACTAGATGTGATCTGGCTGAAATATTTCATATGTTGACTATGAATACAGAAAATCGAAACCAGTGATTCAGCGAAGAGACTCTTTTCAACGAATTTATCATCAAGCCGTACAATCGTATAAATATATATACGGGTCATGAGGTGGACGTTGAAAAGTCGTTCAAAATTATCAATAAGCAAAATAGCTCAATTCTCCTTAAGTTTGCTGAAGCCATTTCCATCAAGCGCATGAAACCTGATTTATGCGTTCAGAAAGAAGCGGTTATCAGCCTTTCTTTGCCCTGGTAGCTGGATAATTTCACCTCTCTTTCATCCGAAAGTGAAATGCTAAAAGTTTCCATTGTGTATGATTATTATTGTTCGGAATAGTGGTTAATAGTGCATATTTATATATGTATATACTTTTAGTGTATGAGTATATTGATCGATTGATTTTTGTTTAAAAATGAACTCTGTGCAAGTATGTTAAAATTGTTGTTGTAGATATATTTAATAATGTCTTTGCCATGTAAGCAGATGACGAGAAGGCAACGAAATAAACACTGATGGTACCATTTTATTCTGCTAAAACTGTAGTTCTTGCATTGTTCAAATATATATATATATATATATGGTTTTTAAGAAACTTTATCTGGTGAGGGGATTGAATCATAGGTTTGAATGTATATAATAATAGTGTGAAATGCAATTTGTGCATCGTTGGCACAACGGTTAGGACGCTCGCCAACCATGCACATTGTCCGGGCTTCGATCCCCGGCCGACCCACTCCTTTACCTCGCTAAGCCAGAAATAATCCTGGTAAAGCTGAAAGGTTGGGTATGAGGTTAGCAACCCCATCCTGTAAAATAAACACTGATACAGAAACTTCAAGCCACCAGGTTGAAGCCCTATGTTCCACTGGGGAATGTGAAGGGAAAAAAAATTAAATGCAATTAAAATTAAAATGTTTGTGATTATAACCATTGTTAAATATCAATTGGAAAAGCAATTAATATCATACATAGAACAATTCATAAGATGTCCAGAAGTTGGAAGAAGTGTGAAATTATAGGATTAGTAGGCGAATAGAATGAAAATAAAGACGTTACGTTACATTGTGTGAAATAAGATAACATAGAATCTAACGCCGTAAGACAAAATCGATTTCGAATGACAAGTGAAATAATACCGGTGACAGTTCAAAGTGAGAATAGTAATAGTAACAATTGACGTTATAATTGGTGAGTATACAAATTGAATAGACGAAATGAAAAATAAGTTGAGCCAGAATATGAATTGGGATTGTCACACTTTAGCATAGAGGGATTAAGACCATGAAAGTTGGAGGGGTTGAACGAACTTTTTCTGTACACAGAGATCTGGCTTTTCTGTTTCGATGACCAGTGCTTCAGCAATACAAATGAGTCAGATACGTGGTGATTTCGACAGACTACTTTTCGCCTTGTAGATGACTTTAAAGACTGGCTTTGTAGAGATAGGGTGATGATTATCGACCAGACGTTCAATGTTCGCGCTTCTTATATCCCCGCTTCCACCTCTTTGTAACCATGCAGGATAGTGTTCATGCAGTCTCGTGGGCAAAACTCGAGTCGAACGACCGATATACCTAGCTTCACACGAACAGGCAGGTAGATAGTTAGTTTTATCGACAATTTTATACAGCTATCATTGCTACAGGAATTAAATATTTCATTGTCGGGAAAACAAATCTTCCTCTTTTCAGCACTACAGTAATATCGGCATCCAGACGATTGTATTCGGTCGATAGCATCGGGAAATAATGCACGAGCGATTCTCGTTTCCGTATCAGGAATGAGAATAGACGAATATGATTCAACAATGACTATACTTAAAATGAATACCTGTTTCGCTGGTCTAAACAATCAACTTTCAACTAAGAATTAACGGGTGTACAATGTGTTTCACTAACGAGGATTTGAGTAACTGAATAGTAATTGCCACTTTAAACTAAATGCTTTACTCACAGTCTAGAATATATGACTTAAACATCATAGGTTTAATATCATTGCAATGCGTAAATGACAATACAGCAAGAAATTTATGATGATGAAATTCTTAACTCTCTAATTATATGCACAACATACATGAGATAACTCTCTTTATTAAGCATTTTGGATCATACTCTTGGCCTTCCTATTTAGCTTCCATTCGACCTACTATGAATAGTATAAACTGTTTAGATCCTATAATTTCTTCGTAAAATGTGTTGAGACTTAACATTCCATAAAACTATCCAACTTTCTTCCTGTGTGATATTTCCACACATGACTACTAGGTCACTCACTGCCTCCTCTCATGATATCACCGGCTTAACTTAATTACACAATAATGATGCTTACCATCATCAGGTTGACTAATCCAATGATAAGAATGTTTGTGTTAATTGGCATTAAAATTCTTTTTGGGGTTTGTGGTTGGTTAGCAAAGATGAAGTCGGATGATACGACATAAACCTTCAAATTTATTCAACGAAAGAAATCTGAAGAAGTTTTAATGGGCTGGATAACAGTTTAGAATTACTTTACAACTTCATATTTTCAATGAAACTGTAGTGCCTCATAAAAAGCTGTTGGTAACAATTTGATTTAAGTATACTACTCACAAACATTGGTGTTACAGATGTCGAATATACTATTTATCTAACCTCAGATAGAACAAGAAGGTGATATCACTGTCTGTAACATAGAAGTGCATTGTGATCACCAGGATACTAGAAGAAATCAATCTTACGTTACCTAGATAGTCGGCGGTGAACGAAGTAAATGGAAGGTTTCTAATAATTATCGATTTATTTTATCGATTTATTACCGGTCTACACAGCAGCCCATGGATCTATGTGTAGTTCCATACCTGCATAAAATTTCAATGAAACAAACTGCACAAGTTGAAAGGCGTAGAAAAAAAATGGACAAATCAATAAAGTATTAAGTAATTACCTGAATATTTTTATAACGGAAGCCTAGACGGAAATCCGATGGTCTGACATAAGGATAATGTATTGTAGATGTAACATTTACATTGGAGACAGCACGCCAAGCATCATATAAATCTGGATATACTGGATAAACACCAGAATGACGAGGTGAAATTGAATAGCCAGCTTGAACTGGGATATCATGATCCTGGAAATAAGTATAAGTATGAAACAGTTAATATGTGTACAACTTAGGTGTTGTACTAGTACGTTATTCCATGTTAATTTATTTATTAGATTTATCACAGTGAAACAGTATTATTTACTGGAACATGTTAATAATTGGAGTTTTATTTATGGAACCAACTCATAACACCTATGATGAGAATGATTCAACACCTGGCCCGGACATCTGGAAGATTCTATTACCCCTAGGACAAATGAGAAGAAATAAAGCAAACTATTAAGCCATAATAGGCACTATCCAGCTCAGAGAACACAAATACACCGAAATCATCCACTTGGGCCACAAATCTTCTCCACTACATATACATAAATGGGTTTCAGGTTAAACCACAGATTGATATCATTTGGAGGATTATTGAGAACTTGGGAGTACTGGATAGCTGTTTCGTCCTAGTTTGAGAAACATCGTCAGTACGCAGATATGACTGGGGCTACAGGACGAAGTTGCCTGCAGTTCTAGTGAGAAGTCGTGACAAGTGGGGGCCACCCTGTCGGGTGGATAACATTAATTGGTGGTCGCGCTAAACACCACAAATCGGTAGGAGTTAGAATTCACAGACTGTTGAATCGGGTCCCAGCAGCTTGCCTTGTAACTGGAAGATCCTGGGTTGGGAACCTAGTGGGTGCATACTGTCGATGAGTCACAAACTAGGACGAAACAACGGTCCAGGACTCCCTGGTTCTCAGTGGTTCTGTTGCTGATATCAATCCGTGGTCTAACCTGAAATAAATATTATCCTTAAAAACTAATTCTTGAAAACATTAGGCGGTGCTTTTCTTTTACAGATAACGCAGTATGTCATATTTCTTCTTCTTCAAAAGCAACGTTTTCCACTGTAGCTCCGTAAGACCTTCTCCTACGCTAAGCTAAACTGTTAAATGCTTTATTTCTTAATGTGACAGTAGTGATAAAATTAATTCAAAGGAAAATTTTGATTTTTATGTGCTTCCTACACTTTATTCCTTGATCAACTAACAATAATGAATAGAACAAGATTCAATTGACTAAATATAGACCCTCTGACTTATGTAGATAACCTGTTGATACAATAACACATCGAATGAATTAGTAAGAAAATGTCTGACCATATGTAGAGATTCACGTTACCATTTGGAGTTGAGTAGTGCAGGAGAATTTCAAACACCTATTTAGAAATTTCTCTCTTTGGACACTTAACTTCTACCATTTTTCTGGGCAGGGTTTAAATAGGAAAAAAAACACTTGTTTCCCAACATACAACTAGCTTTCAATATATTATCCTCCTCAGAATTACAAAACAAGAGATAATAAATGTAGATTACCTTGGCAAACTGACGATTACGTTCAATATCCTGCTGGATACAAGTTTTATTCATGATATGTGGCCTACGATGATGCCATAGATGGTCGAACCACCAAAATTTATGACGATTTTCTAAAAGTATAGTAATAATAATAACTATTATTATTATTAACACTTAAAAAGGGTTGATAAGTGTAGAGAATTATTACTAATACACATCGTAAAATTAGCTTTCATGAGCTGAAAACGTTTGATGTCAATGCAAGCAATTAAAAGCCATTGCCTTTTTCAACGGATGTGTTGAAAAAGATAAATAACACAGCATTCATACTACGGTCAACAACCACTTGTAATACCAACCATATCAAAAGGGAAAAAGTTCATTGAAAAATTCAAACAGAAAAACTATTTTTGAAATTAATACAAATTTCGGGATGGATTCAGGAAAGGCAAATCATGTACTGACCAAATTGCTACTCTACGCATCATCATCACAGAACAAAGCATGGAATGGCGACCAAACCTCTACCTCAACTTTACAGACTTTGAGAAGGCCTTCGACAGCGTCGATCGTGAAGTAATTTGGAAATTACTCGAGTACTATGGCGTACCCCAAATATTCATCAACCTTATTCAACAGCTGTACGACAACGGCACATGTCAAGTCATCCACAACGGAAAACTCAGCGAGGCGTTTGGAATAAACACAGGAGTCAGACAAGGGTGCTTACTATCACCAATGATATTCCTAATTGTGGTGGACTGACTGGATTATGCGTCAGACTGTGAGTGGGAAACGAGCAAACAGGAATATCCTGGACCGACGTGAAGAACCTAGAAGACCTGGATTTCGCGCGTGGATGACTTATGTTTGATGTCACACAAAATCGAAGACTTACAAGCGAAAACCGACAAACTGGTCGAAGAAGCAGCCGGCGAAGACAGGACTCCAAATGAACAAAGACAAGACGGAGGTGATGAAAATAACCAACCAACAATAAGAACAATATCAACATCAAAACGACAATCACCATCAACGGGAGGGATTTGAAAGAGGTTACTTCATTCACTTATCTAGGAAGCATTGTCTCAACTACAGGCAGTCGGAACGGACGAAGATGTCAAGTCGAGCGAGAATTGGGAATCATCAACCTGAAACCAATCTGGAAATCTTCGTCACTCAGCCAGAATCAACAACAAAATTCAGTCGGATTTTCAATACAAACGTAAAGTCAGTTAGCTCTTCTATACCGATCAGGAACTTGGCAGGCGGGTCACAAAGAATATTTCCAACAGCCTGTTGCAGACCTTTATCAACCAACAACTGTCTTCGCTCTATACTCAAGATCAGATGGCCGGGCCGGAAAGAATCACCAACAAGAAGCTATGGGAAAAAACAAAGCAAGAACCAATCGCCAACCAACAAATGTGCAGGAGAAAGTGGAGATGGATCGGACACTTGCTGAGGAGACCGCTGGATGACATCGCACGTCAAGCCCTCAAATGGAACCCGAAAGGGAAGCGGCGAGTGGGACGTCAGTGCAAGGGTGACATGGAGGAGATCGTGTGAAGAGGAGTTGAAAGAGTATGGATTAACATGGATGCAGGTGAAAAGTACAGCAGAAGACAGAAGTGGCAAGTGGAGACGTGCAGTTGAAGCCCTATGTTCCACTAGTAACCCAAGGGAGCAATAATAATAATAATCGGGATGTGTTACGACAGTCCTAAATCGTGAACTCTTCTCTTTTAGATAACCAGTGGTTAGTGTGTTGTGGACAGAAAACATCAGTTTTGAGTTCTCACTTTTCCACGAATTTTTCTTCCAATTTTGGAAGAAATCAATGGACAAGTTAAAATACACTTATTTGAGTTCAAATGAAAGAAAGCAATCAATAAAGTGTTTCATAGTTTGGTAATTCTATTTACGGACAGTTAACGAAAGGCGAAGTAGATCTTTAAAATCTCATAAACATGAGTTATTCATTCTAATAAACAAGTAATACTTACGATTTGGAAACAAAAAAGAAACCACAAAACTTTGATTTTAACTGTACTGCAACACAAAACTCGTCGAACAAGCTGGTAGAGTTGCGTGCACACCATTTACATATTTTAATAGAATTCCTGTTTTCTTGATGCAAATCATAGGAATGAAATTAAGTCACAAGATTACTTAAACACAAAACCAGGCTAAAAGTATTCCGATATTGTCTTCTCAGTTTATTCAGCATAAATAAAAACATCAGTAAAAGATAGATTAAAAGATAAATACACTTACCAAGCAGGTGATTGTAAACAATTTTATCTGACCAACGGGATTTACTGAAAAATGCACCACAGAAACCCATATTGAATGTGAACCTCGGTATGAATGTGCGCCAGTAGTTTTGAGCTTTAATCATCGCCTTTCAGATAGAATAAGAGGACACAAACCACTTAAATTTAGTATAGAGGGAAACTGTAGGCAGCAGTATTTATGAGTACTGTCAACAGCTTCAAACAGCAGAATTCATAAAAAAACATTCAAAAGATTACAATGTAATACTACTTTAGGTGGGTGGAATTAGAAATACCCAGTCAGTTGGATCTATAAAAAAATTATTTCATATTATTCCGGCATCTTTATTTGTGTACAGAGAATTTTCCATGTGCAGCTTCAATGCTTTCACGGAACCTACAAATACGTATCCGGTTCAACCTATCAACCACGTGAGTGTACACAAGACTGGTTTTTCCATGTAGGAACATTGGATAACGTCATCTTAAACTGAAAGACTGGAGGGTTTATTAGCGCAGAGAACCGCATAAAAGCGCAACAGTTCAAGTTGACAGGAAGTGAGAGAAGATAAATGTCACTTTCTTTTAGTTATATTTTATTATTTTATTCCTGTATGTTCCCAATGGAACATAGAGCCTCAGGCTAGAGGCTTGAAGTTTCAGCGACAGTGGTGTTCATTTTTACAGGATGGGGTTGCTAGCCTCATGCCCAACCTTCCCTCTCTATCAGTTTTATTACTGGCTTAGTGAGATATAGCAATGCGTTGGCCAGGGATCGAATCCCGGGCCGGCGAGCATTCTACCGCTGTGCCACCAACGCGCCTTCTTTTAGTCATCTTTGTGTAATATTCAGACTACGATATGGCTGACCGATCCTTACCTAGAACTGACCAAATGTATTTGTGATTAAATCAACATCACATACAGTTACTTCTGTACAGTTGGCATCATCACTTAGATAGAAGGAATACATCATCTGCATAATCGAGATCAACGAAACTACCACCTGGTGACAAGTCAGTCCCTCAGAAGTTTACCAGGGTGCAGTACATTAATGCATACATAATGAAACCAAATAACAATGGAGGTGCTTGACCAACTATCTCTATGCTTCAAGAAGACTATAATAATCTGAGTGGAGTGACTCGAGTACCACTACTTTCTCAGCACTCTCTGAATACATTTATTATATAATGGTAAAGCCTGATGAGAAATTGCCGTAAATACTTGATTGCTTTAACTTTATTCCCTTATTCTCATAATGAAAATATATTCAAACTAGATGCAGGTAAGTGATAAGTCGATCATAAGTAGTTAATACAGCTGCACCGTTGTGAACGATTTCCAGCCATCTCACCAGCCATCTTTAAACATGACACAAACCAGACAATCTGCTCTTCCCTATATGGTTTAAACGAACAGTCGCAGAATTCAGGGATTGGTGCTGTGTTTTATCTGATCATGCCTAACTCTTTCTCTTTTTTTTATTACAGCTTGATTCCACACCGTATATTCGGTACAGGTATGGAACTTCCAGCATGTGATATCATGAGCCCCAATTTTTCAGGCCGACCATAGATATCAGGTGTGCGTCGGCAGAAGATCGAACCCCGGACCATGTGCATGGTCGGCGACAGTCCTAACCACTATGCCACCGACGCACAAATGCTTCTTGCAGACTACTAGAACTATGGAAATTGATTTCTTCTTGAAGTACAGAAATAGTACTAGTTTTAGGTAACAGCAGAACTTAGGAGACCACTATTAAATGCCCGTCTAACGCGGTCTACCTACAGGAGGAGTTTCATTCAAAACAGAATGCCTTGCATCCAGCGACTGGATGCCGTACTGTAAGAGAGAACGCAAAATTTTCGAAGTTAACCCAATTGTACTTTGAAAGCTTATGAAAATACTAAACTCCATAAAACAAAAACACCTAAGGTAAAGTGACGACATACAATCCGACCATCACGTAGTGAATACGCTTGCATATCACGATGGCCCACCGAGCTATGCCGGCTGAAACAAAACCTTTTTTACATGTTCTACCAAGCCGGAAAAGTCGTTTGAATAGCAGTTACAGTAATAGTTTGAAGATCAACTCGTATTGCTGGCGAATAGAGACCGCGGCCAGAAAACCACTACTTATACTCTCTTAAAACCACGCTGCAGACTTCATATTAAAATATTCAACTTCAAGACTCTTTCACCAGGTCAAACAACACACATCACTAACCAGATATCTGCTGTCAAGAGCCATGGAAGACAGGCATACAAGACGCCAGCTTGATTATTCACTTAACGCTCACTTGGCCAACATGGTGAACCTACAAAACTCACCTTACGAGTATCGGAAGATTGTTCGGCTAGTTCACGAGGACCTCAAGTGTAAGAATAACATTAAAGACGGAAAATCCCTAACCCTAGCTGGATCCCAGTGAATAGTCATAAGTGTGCTGACCAGCTAGAACCATCCATTAAAAGGTGGCAAAACTGAGATACCTGTCGATGATTTTTTCCACTGCAGTTTGGACGAAGTCAAGGATGTTTTATCAAAATCTATCCTGTTTTGTTACTGATAACAAAACGCTCAGATATAGTCATTTTACAGGCAAATTCAATGATCAAGTATAGAAGCTGTCCTAGTCATAAAGTATATTGGTAGCACTAATGAATTGTCGTCAACGGCAATCATGATATACAGTTCTTTTGAGATAACAGTCAGTTCCTCATCAGCCTCAATCGGCTACCTTTATCATCACATCAACGACGGGGTTAAGCATATCACTTGCTTGTAAGTTATCGATGGGGTCTGTAGAAGACTACCGCTCCTTCAGGAACACTTATGTAGACACTATTCACTTTTTGACAGATTCCAGAACATAGACACACCTAACAGTGTGCGAAACTTGTTATATTTTTTTACCTGAAGTTGATATTTGAATACATCCACAGATGGGTGCTATGGAAATGTCTGGCAGTGAAGTGAATGCCAAGACTGTATATCACACAAATCGAGACACTCTACACGAACTCAATGTCTCCATTTTTTTGATTAATTTCATCACAGATGTAATAATGAATAGGATCTCAACTGCCTTGGGGTCCTCGGGATGGTAAAAACCGATGGCTGGAGACAATTGGTGATATGGCGCAGATGCATTCACTCTTTGTGATTTATAATATCCAATAAAATTCTATTGTTCTTCCATATTACTATTCTTTTTGCCTCACATTTCTGTTTATTATTTCTCTCGCTTTACTCTCTTCTCTTGCTTTGTGTGCAACATAGAGTGTGTCAACTCAAACCACTGCACATCAGTGCAAAGTTCTATTTTTTTTATTTTTGATTTACAGCTTGATTCCACACTGTATTTTCGGTACAAGTATGGCATTTTCAGCATGGGTATCGGTAGCCCAAATTTTGCAGGCCGACCATAGATATCAGGTGTGCGTCGATGCGGGCTCGAACCCCGGACCATGTGCGTGGTCGGCGAGAGTCCTAACCACTGTGCCACCGACGCACGTGGACACGTGTGCACGAAATTACCCTGAGGCTTTTCAAAGCTTGCAGAATGAGTTCTACGGCAAAATTAACACTTACTTTGAAACCAGTCAGTCAGTCTTAAGTGCCTTTAGAGACTTAGGGGGTCGAACTGTTATCATAGTACACTCCAATCGACATAGAGTATGCAGATGATACTATCCTCCTAGGTGAGACACTGAAAAAATTCGGTCTTCTCAACACCTTGAGCAGAAACCATGTTTGACATGGAATTCATCTCTCTCAAATATTACAGAACTGCTCAGCACTGACTCCTAGTTTTAAGATAGGGAATCAAGTGATTGAACGTGTTGTATCAGCTGCAGTGAGACGTTATCACCTCACTATGGACTAATATACAGGCTACTCAAATTACATTCAGTCAAATGGTGGTCGGTGTTAATAGGTACAGCAATGTCATTAGACAGTCCAAGCGCATGACTGGCGCTCACCCTCCCAGCGACACTGTGAAAAGCGGTCGAAAAGTTTATGTACCTTAGTAGTCACGTGAGCTTTGAGTTTTACGATACCACGTCAAAATTCTTTATATTCATAATAGTGACCTTTACCGCAGAATTCATTCTATGCCATATGACTATGTGCTAAATTGTTACTTTAACGGCTGTATAGAAACACTAAACTAAGTAAAACCACGCTAACAACAACATTTTTGTCCTTCACGTTCCCCAGTGGAATATAGGGCTTCAAGCTAGTGGCTTGAAGTTTCTGTAGCAGTGTTTATTTTACAGGATGGGGTTGCTAGTCTCATGCCCAACCTTTCCTCTTTACCAGCATTATTTCTGGGTTAGCGAGGTAAAGGAGTGGGTCGGCCGGGGATCGAACCCCGGACAATGTGCATGGTCGGTGAGCGTCCTGACTGCTATGCTACCGACGCACAACAACATACTTCTTATGAAAATTGGATATCCAAGTAATATTTGGAGAGGAACTCCCAGTAGATATTCGTTAAAAATAAATAGTAAGTTAACACTTACTTTTAATGCTTAATTAGAGAGAAATACTCCAAACTGTCTCGACGAATATTTAATTATTAGAAAACTCAGACTCACATTTATATCATCGATCGTAAGGTAAACATGCCGATTGGGCACAAATACATCGTCCACATCAACTAGTACCCATCTGAGTAGATCGATTTCATTTGGCGCTAGGATTTAAGGGTGAGAAATAACACAAGTGTCCGTGATAAGTAGTCATTAAAATAAAATTACGAAGTTTATATTATTTTTCTGATTTTAGGACATGAAAAGAAACTCTTTAGTCTACTTTTACTAATTTGGTAGTTTAACCATAAAAGCCTTGAGAAAAGTGCAAATACACCAAACACAAGTAGTCAGTTGAGCAAAAGAAACTTGCATTTTAAAGACCCATTTCTATGGACAAGGTTAAACAGATATATGATTGAGCAGTGAATACAATGGGGTTAAGCATCACTTAGACAAGCTATATAAAAAACAAGTTAAGCGTAACCATGTCAACTGCAACTGTCGTTATAAAAATTTGCTTTATGAGTGCTAGCATCACTATGCAATCAAAAATATCAAATAAATAAAAGACTATTCAAGTATTGGGTTGAAGGGATTTGATTGATTGGTTACGGGATTTCATCATGAGCTGACATCAATTAGAGAACCATTGGAAAACCAGATGGGAGTACTGGACAGCTGCTTCATCCCAGTAGTTTGGGACTCTTCAGCAGTACGAACACACCACCGCGCCAGGGTTCGAACCCAGGACCTTCTGGTTACAAGGCAAGCTAGCTCGTAGACCATTTAGCCACTGGGACCCGATCCAGTGACCAGCCAGTCCATGAATTCCAACTTCTGCCAATTCACGACATATTGCGACCACTAGCCAATTTCTTCGGCGAGTATTTGTCCTCACGCCTGACGTGCTGTATCCTACTGGTCACGACTTCTCACTAGGATCGCAGGTAACTACCTACCTGAATAAGGCCATTCGCCAGTGAGCATCTTATCGATATTCAAGTATTGGTTTATAGGGATTTGATTGATTGTCATTATCACGATCCGAGTGTTTTCAATTTAAAAAAAGTCGTTTCCATAGGCCTGTGATTATTTTAAGTTAGTCTTAAGGCTACTCCAGTACTTGATGTGGTGTCACTGTACTAGTTACTCGAAAAATTCGTGGACAGGATAATAATACAACAATATAATACAACAATAAGGAATGAAAAATAAAGGGAAAATTAGTCAGATGTGATCTTTCGAATGAAAAAAGGCAAGATATGATATATCTCATTATCAAGATGTACCACACAATAGATACCCACAAACACGTTGAAAATGTTTATTTGTTTTATTATCAAGCAGGACCGTGTTTACTGAAAACCAAATTCTTCGATGCACAGGAGTGAATGAGTATGAATTTTAACTGTAGCTATAGCTATTCCTGACTAGCCAGTATTACCATGATAAATTTATAGTTAAACACAAGACAATCACTTATTTCTAGCTTAATCAATTTAAGTAACACCCGACTATGAAAGCATTTCAAAATCAAAGTTTTTATTTATTTATTATTTATTGCTCCCTTGGGTTCCTAGTGGAACGTAGGGCTTCAACTGCACGTCTCCATTTTCTTCTGTCTTCTGCTATACTTTTCGCCTGCATCCATGTTAATCCATATTCTTTCAACTCCTCTTCACACGATCTCCTCCATGTCACCCTTGGACGTCCCACTCGCCGCTTCCCTTTCGGGTTCCACTCGAGGGCTTGGCGCGCGATGTCACCCAGCGGTCTCCTCAGCGAGTGTCCGATCCATCTCCACTTTCTCCTGCATATTTGTTGGGCGATTGGTTCTTGCTTTGTTTTTTCCCATAGCTTCTTGTTGGTGATTCTTTCCGGCCATCTGATCTTCAGTATAGAGCGAAGACAGTTGTTGATAAAGGTCTGCAACCTGTTGGAAATATTCTTTGTGACCCGCCGCCAAGTTTCTGATCCGTATAGAAGAACTGACTTTACGTTTGTATTGAAAATCCGACTTTTGTTGTTGATGCTGAGTGACGAAGATTTCCAGATTGATTTCAGGCTGATGAATGTGTTTCTCGCCTTCCCGATTCTCGCTCGATTTGACATCCTCGTCCGCTCCTCCTGTAGTTGAGACAATGCTCCCTAGATAAGTGAATGAAGTAACCTCTTTCAAATCCCTCCCGTTGATGGTGATTGACGTTGGATGTTGTTGCTGTTGTTGGTTGGTTATTTTCATAACCTCCGTCTTGTCTATGTTCACCTGGAGTCCTGTCTTCGCTGCTGCTTCTTCGACCAGTTTGTCGGTTTTCGCTTGTAAGTCTTCGATTTTGTGTGACATCAAACATAAATCATCCACGCGCGAAATCCAGGTCTTCTAGGTTCTTCACGTCGGTCCAGGATATTCCTGTCTTCTCGTTTCCCACTGTCTGACGCATAATCCAGTCCACCACAATTAGGAATATCATTGGTGATAGTAAGCACCCTTGTCTGACTCCTGTGTTTACTCCAAACGCCTCGCTGAGTTTTCCGTTGTGGATCACTTGACATGTGCCGTTGTCGTACAGCTGTTGAATAAGGTTGATGAATATTTGGGGTACGCCATAGTACTCGAGTAATTTCCAAATTACTTCACGATCAACGCTGTCGAAGGCCTTCTCAAAGTCTATAAAGTTGAGGTAGAGGTTTGATTGCCATTCCATGCTTTGTTCTGTGATGATGATGCGTAGAGTTGCAATTTGGTCAGTACATGATTTGCCTTTCCTGAATCCAGCTTGTTCTGGTCGGAGTTCTGTCTCCAGTGCGTCCTTTAATCTCTCCAGGATGATGCGACTCAGGATTTTACTTGGCGTCGATAGGAGCATGATTCCTCGCCAGTTCTTGCAGAGTCCTAAGTCGCCCTTCTTTGGTAGTTTCACGAGGTAACCTTTCCTCCAGTCAGTAGGCACCTTTCCCTCCTTCCAGACCTTTTGCAATAATGGAGTCAGCATGTCTGCTGTCGTCTCTGGGTCTGCTTTCAGTGCTTCAGGGGGTATTCCATCTGGTCCGGCTGTTTTTCCAGCTTTCAGAAGTTTGATTGCATTCAAGACTTCAGCTCTCGTTGGAGGATTGGTGTCAACTTGCAGTTGTGTGCGCGCTGTTGTTGGTATTTCTGGACGGGTTGCAGGTGATGGTCGGTTCAAGAGTCCTTTGAAGTGATCCGCCCATTGTTTAATCTGTTTTTCTTCCTTGGTAATGGGCTTCCCTTGGCTGTCTTTTATAGGTTTCGCTTGTGTTGGTCTCTTCCCGGATAGAGATTTGGTTATCTGATATAGTGTCCTCAGGTCCCTTTTGCCTGCTGCCTTTTCAGCTTCAGTAGCTAGATTGTCGTAGAATCGTCTTTTGTCCTTCCTAGCACTTTTCTTCACTTCTTTGTCCAATGCTTTGTAAGTTGAGCTCATCGTCTCCTTCTCCTGTCCGTCCTTGCATTGAATCATTTTCTCTTTCACCATTCTCCTCTCTTCTATTAATTTCCAAGTGTCCGTTGAGAGCCATTCCTTGTCTTGTCTCTTCTTTCTTCCTAGAACCGTTGAACACGTTTCGTTGAGAATCGCCTTCAGAGACTTCCAATGTTCTTCCACGCATGATTCTTCAGTGATGTCGCGTAGTGTTTCCTGCTTTGCTCTGACAGTTGCAGTGAAGGTGTCTTTTGTGGTTGTGTCCTTCAGTAATTGAGTGTTGAACTTGCATTGTGGCCTATCCCCAGCTATCCTCGAGGCTTTTAGTTTCACCTTGAAAGTCCCTTGTACTAGATAGTGGTCTGAACCCACATCTGCTCCTCTCCTTGACCTTGTGTCCAGTAGGCTCCGTCTCCACTTTCTTGAAATTGAGATGAAGTCTATTTGATTCTTGGTGTTTCCATCTGGTGAAATCCATGTCGTCTTGTGTATATCCTTGTGTTTGAACACACTACCGCCAATCACCAAATCATTGAAGGCGCAGAAGTCTGAGAAGAGTTCACCATTGTCGTTCATTTCACCGAGGGCCTCACGACCCATGGTGAGTTCTCTTCCTGTGTTGTCTCGTCCCAGCTTCGCATTCATGTCGCCCATCAGGATTTTGATATCGCCATTTGGGACGTTGTCCATTATTGCTTGTAGTTGTCTGTAGAACGCCTCCTTCTTCTCTTGTTCTGAGACGTTTGTAGGCGCATAACATTGAATGACTGTAACTTTCCTTCCTTTTGAGTTGAACCTGGCTGTCATTATCCTGGAGGAGATTGGTTCCCACTGCATGAGAGCTTTGGTTGCTGTTGGTGACATCATGATGGCCACTCCCTCGGTGTGCTCATGGTTGTCCTCTAGGTGGCCGGAATAGATTACTGTCTCTCCAGTAGGTAGTTGGCACCTTCCAGTTCCGTTCCATCTGCTCTCGCAGATTCCCAACACTTCTATTCTGTACCTTCTCATTTCAGCGGCTATCTGGGCAGCCTTTCCAGTTTCGTACATTGTGCGAACATTCCAGGTACCCATCCTTACTTTTGCTTTCATCGAAAGAAGGCACATCGGCTGACTGGCTTCCCGAAGGCTTTCACCAGCCTGCGTCATTTCACTTCCCCGATTCCAGCGAAAAGTAAGGCTATTGCTTATGTTTTTAGAATTTTTAATAATAAATTTTTAATAATAACTCAAAGTTAATTTACTAGTAATGACAAGGTAAACAGGAGAAACTATACACTGTTAAAAACACAGCGAGTATATAAGGATTATAAAAGATGGATACCCAAACATACATGTTGATTGGTTCATTTTCGAGACGATTTCTTCAAACTTAGAAGTGAAAGGATAAGATGACGGTGGTGAAGCATGAAAACTCCCATTTGATAGGTAAACAATAGTGTCAAGTAGCAGCAACGATGAGATCCAAATACCTCCAGGACGGAAAGCAAACAGAACACGTCGAATCCCATCAAACAAACCAACATCTTCTAAAACTAAGCTCTGGAAAATTGAATGGGTACTATTGTCAGACACCGTAGAGGAATTCTGAAATTTTATTTATACAAAAAGACAATGATATAATTTATACATGAACAGATTAATTATCACAGATTTAGGGAATGAGAACTACTAGACAACTCAGTAATGCAAAGTAAGGTAGACTTATGACTACCAAAATGGATGGAGAGCCTTGTATTAACTATTATGATAAAAGTAGTATCACAAAACAGTTGTTTGCCTAACTGAAGTCAATATGAATACTTACAGAACTATGAACAGGATTACACCTCATGTCAACCCTCAGTTTCGATCACCACTCCATATTATGCTGCATGAAGGCGAATTTGGCTAACGACTTACTTCATTACTGCAGTATGGTCCTCACTAAGCTTAATTTCTATTGGTTTTGTGATCTTCTTGACTAATAATCTCAGATGGTGTTCCTCTTCCACTTCTGAAAACTGTCCCACTGACTCCAGTATAGGTAACAAAGTGTTTATCACCTTGGAGCCATCCGTAATATTGAACAGCGAAGTATTTGATTTCTATAACTTATGGATAAATTTCCGACATTCTAAATCATAAAACAATGCTTCTGTCGGCACATGCATAGGAAGTGACTTTACTTTGAGTAGTTTCGCGATAATATAAAATTCACACAACGTAGTAGGTGGGTTTTCAATAGCCATCATAAATGAGCAGGTGCAGCCGGGAGTGGATCGACTCCAGTTTTCCCACTAAATGCCATTGTGTATCAGCGCACTCCCAGTCTCTACCTCGTAAGTCCTTCATGCAGTAGGGGCTTGCTCTTAAAAAACTGAAAGGGTGAACAAGGATATACGTCACTAACAAGCAGAGCAGTGAACATGGAAAGTTACAATAGAGAAGTTAGAACACCCTAACTGCAAACCTATAGTCCATGTGCAACTCACGACCCCAAAGAAAAGAATGGCATATGAGCCAACTTCAAATATTAGATACCATAGCAACACATATCCTGACGTTTCAATGCCGTTTGATGCATTACAGCTCAGGGTAAGGGCTGGGGAGTCGTTCCTGAAGATAACCATCTGCTTGGCTCTATCCAACCGGCTTATAACTCAGCCTACATACAAAATATGAAATTAGGAATATGAAATATATGAATTATCAATATGAAAAATATGAATTATGCTCCTGTCCAATCCAGGCAAAATACTAAGCCACATCATCCTGGAGAGAATCGAACACGCCACGCTGGATGAAAAACCTCGACCGCAACAGGCCGGATTGAGGAGAAACAAATCATGTATTGATCAAATCGCCACTCTACGAATCATCATTGAGCAAAGCTTGGAATTGAAGTCACCCCTTCACCTAACTCAACATCATCGACTTTGAAAAGGCCTTCGATAGTACAGCGTCGATCGAGAGGTGATTTAGAAACTACTTCGCTACTACAGTGGGGTGTCATCGACAATTATACATCTCATCCAACAGTTATACGACAATTCTGCATGCGAAGTAATCCACAACGGGAAACTTTCGGAAGCCTTCGAAGTGAGGACGGGAGTAAGACAAGGCTGCCTACTATCGCCAATGATTTTCCTGGTTGCAGTAGATTGGATAATGCGACAGACAGTAGCGGGCAATGAAGAAACAGGCATAAAATGGACTCACACAAAAAGAGACTTGGAGGATCTGGACTTCGCCCTTGATGACATATATATGTCTGATTTCCCACAAACTGGAAGATATGCAAGTCAAAAGCAACAACAAGTTGGCAGAAGAAGCATCCAGAGAAGATTGGACTTCAGGTGAACATAGATAAAACAGAGGTGATGAAGATTCCTGGCCAAAACCACCAACAGCCACAAGAACAACAGACAACAATCAGCCAGCATAAATGGAGGAACCTGAGAGAAACAACCTCCTTTACCTACCCACTGGACTGGGAAGCATCGTTTCAACCACAGGCGGACGGAAGTGACGAGGATATCAAAGCGAGAATCGGAAAAGCAAGACAAGCTTTCATTACTCTCACCAAGTCTGTGTGGAGGTCAACATCACTCACCATCAAAAATAAGATCCGGATCTTCAACTCCAATGTGAAGTCAGTCACAGCTACTTTCTATGCGGATCACAGACTTGGCCAGTGCGTCATAAACAGCATCTCAAACAAACTTCAGACCTTCATTAACAGTTGTCTTCGCTCAGTACTCCGGTCAAGATCAGATGGCCGGCCAGAAAAGATCAGCGACAGGGAGGGATCTCTGGCAATGAGCCAACCAACCCAACAGGAACCGATTGTGAAACAAATAGGCAGGAAGAAATGGAGATGGATTGGCTGGCCATACTCTGAGGAAACCATCAAGTGACATCACTAGACGAGCCATCGCTCGAGTGGAACCCGAAAGAGAAGCGGGCGGCGTCAGTGATAGGGTGACTTGGAGGAGGTCATGTGAAGGGGAGATGAGAGCATATGGGCAGACTTGGAGTGGGGTGAAAAAGTTGACAGAAAACAGAAGGTAACGGAGACACGCAGCTGAAGCCCTATGTTCCTCTAGGAGTTAAGGGATAAAATGATAATAATAAACAAGCAGAAAATTCAACTCGCCTGTATGTTTTTTTATATTTTTTTTATTTACAGCTTGATTCCACACTGTATTTTTGCTACAAGTATGGAATTTTTAGCATGTGATATCGGTAGTCCAAATTTTGCAGGCCGAACATAGATATCAGGTGTGCGCCGGCGTGGGCTTGAACCCCGGACCATGTGGATGGTCGGCGAGAGTCCTAACCACTGTGCCACCGACGTTCTTGTAAATTAATCCACAAATTGAATATTCAGTGATTTCATCTAATACCATAAAGATTTTTACATAAACTATTTCTCTTTATTTCTATTTTTACGTTTTTCTTTATCTTCATGTGCGTCGACCGTTCATTATTGACTTGGATGTCAGTCTCCGAGTAACACTTTGGGTTGCTAGTTACTTGCCTACAGAAAACTGGCCTCAAATGCGATTTCTAATGAGGTTATTGTGACAAGGCGTTAAAACTTGGTACCTACAATATTTGCACACTAATGTAAATCCAAGAACAGGCAGATAAATCCAGAGAACCCGGAAAGCCTCGATGTGGATTATGGATGCATCTCAGGGACTCACATAAAAAATTTCAGTGAAGGGCTTAGAGTACCTCTTCCACTTACAGATAAGAACAGTATGTTTCATGTGCGCTTATCTGTGTTCCCTGAGACATCGGGGTCCATATTAGCTGGTACTGCCGTCGCATTAAACATCAGGGCTGCAGCAGAATTAATCGAATGGATCTCCATTAAAAGTCGTTTATGTCTTATTACTCTTGAAGGTTATATCAGGGTAGGAAGCGACCAATCAGAGAAGCCCTCTCTTTTCGTCACTTTTGGCTATGCCCCTTCTCAACAGGGCTCGCTTGACATAGCTTTAGCCGACGAATCCAGCGCGAAGGTCAGGAATCTAAGCTCAAAAGAGAGTTGTTTAGGTACTCCGTAAGCACTAGATGGCTACACGTCAGATAATGGGGAGTATTCTCTGTGGGTTTGAGCCGATTACAACCTATTTCTAAACAGATCCAACTCCCAGCATAGTCATCGCTACAGTGCCAACTAGCGTCTTACCTTAGCCACTCAAGCATCGACTCAAACAAAATACATCTATATCAGTTACCTTCTGGAGCACTTCTCTGGATTCCGATCATGTTTAAGTGTGAGCCATCTTCATCTTGTGATTTGGTGGTAATTATAAATGTCATTCGAAAAGACTGATGCAAGTAAATTGGTTGTGTTCACTACTAAAGTCGAATATGAAACTGTAGGTCAATTCCTGCAGATAGTGTGTATGATATTGTGTGTAAGACTATTGCGCATGATATCAAACAGTGTTCAGTTACGGGTCTAGAAGCCTTTTGGTCAGAATGTACATGTAACGCGGAATCAGCAGCTGTATTTGGCGATAGTCATAATCTGCCCAGGCTTGTCCAAACCACTAGTAGTAAGAAGAATGATGTCAGTGAGATGGTCTGGCTGCCTGCCACTGACAAAATAGAAAGCTGCATAGGACAATCTGAGAAACATTTCAGATGACAGACAGTCCTAATATTAGTTATTATAGAGTACAGTGCACCGTCGTTAACTAACACCACCTAACACAGGGGAGTCTGAAAGGAACTTCAAATACTTAAGTAGTATTAAAAACTTGTCTTAGGCAAATAATCCTTGACAATTAAGAAACTCTGGTGAAAGTATCCCATCATAGTGCATGTCCTCAAAAAATGGCCAACGTAATGGATGTGACAGTCATCAAATTATTTGTCTCTAACCAGTTGCATCTAAAGTATTAGCTACGATTTTGTTCCACAGGTTTGGTAATACTTGTGAGCAATGGTTTCGCGAATGCATCCATCATTATACATGCGTAGTATGTATCTGGGTACCTAGGCATATGCATCTTGTCAACGTCATCACCGGGAAAGACAACATTAGAACCTGTTGACAGGTGAAGGTACAGCCATGCCAATAGGCCTTCTTGATTCTCTTAGGTTACTTCTATTCTGGGTCCCTCTGATTTATCGCAGAAACCTAGAATGTCAGTTAACCTGATCCATCTGCTTTTGTCACCTTTCGATTTTTTTTTTCGTTTTACGTAAACTGTGAAGATCAATGATCTTCACCAATCCAATGGAACTGTGTTGGATCACATATATGGGTACATAACTGAAACAAGGAATGGGACACTATGGAAGCAAGCTGAAATACTCCTCAGACCGAACCGCTATTAGAACATAAAGTAACTGAGGCATTATTGTAACGCTTTTGCAATGGTCGCTAAATGTGAGAAAGTCCTCGAAATGGGGATGCAGCAGTAAGGGTAGCTCAGCTTGAGTTTAATGTATTTGAAGATAAAATCCAAAAGAAATCAATCCGACTGATTGGAATTAAGCTAAGGAATGATGCTTTTTTGTATACTCTAAAAACGCAATTGTGTCAGTAGCAAGGGAAATCTTTCTGCGAAACTCAAAAGCGACTGGACTACGGACCTCTTAGTTATCCTACACTTAATTAGAATGAGGGATCTTGAAACTAAAGAAATTTGAGTAGGGTTTCTGCCAACTTTCGGAAAAATGAGTTATACAGTCCATAATGAAATCAAACAACAAGGGAGACACTTAACATTTCTTACGTTCACATCTGGATTTCATTACTTCAGACATTTCTCTGCAAGTGAACGACAGTCCTCATTATTTAATCCCCACTTAGTGCTTACTCGACTTTTCTCTGGGGTTAAATATGATTCTTGTCATGATAGTCTCTAGTTAATAGTAACATGTCTATCGAGTAAGAAAAGGCATTAGTAAAGCAATACAGCTTTATTTGTAACTTGAAAAATACAACTGTCAAACTGACTGAGTTTCAACGTAGAACTTCATATAGAAAAATGTAGCAGCTTAACTTGCCACACTCCATATTTCACACAAAAGTAGAAAAACGGTGCGAGGATAGAGTATGCAACGTAGCCACATATCCTCAGCTTGAAGCGATTACGTTTCACAGGCGTAGGGAAAGACCACTCACATCGAAGCATTGTTTAAGAACATCTCTAACTTCTGGTTGTATGTCCCCACTCCACATGTGTTCCCACATGATGTTTTCATGAGTGTTAACATATTTCGAAGGACACATTTCTCTAACAGGAATTCTAAATAGCACTTCTATGGGCTACATTCATGACGACTTCGCCAAGAATAAAAATTTCTCTTCGCTGCAACTGTTTTTCTGTTTTCCTATGACAAATAAGTGCATATCGCCGTTCAAAGAAATAATTTAAAGCTTTTGAATCTACAACGCATATGACTATGCAATACAAATTTGTAAGTAGTGGAGAACATTATAAAGATTTCGGGCTGGAGGTTAACAATACGGAAGCACTTTCAACTGTTACAATGACACCACACCGACTTCAATGGAATCCTACTTGGCTACAAAAAATAATTTTATTATTATTATATCCTTTAACTCCTAGAGGAACATAGGGCTTCAGCTGCGTGTCTCCGTTACCTTCTGTTTTCTGTCAACTTTTTCACCCCACTCCAAGTCTGCCCATATGCTTTCATCTCCCCTTCACATGACCTCCTCCAAGTCACCCTATCACTGACGCCGCCCGCTTCTCTTTCGGATACCACTCGAGCGATGGCTCGTCTAGTGATGTCACTTGATGGTTTCCTCAGAGTATGGCCAGCCAATCCATCTCCATTTCTTCCTGCCTATTTGTTTCACAATCGGTTCCTGCTGAGTTGGTTCGCTCATTGACAGAGATCCCTCCCTGTTGCTGATCTTTTCTGGCCGGCCATCTGATCTTGACCGGAGTACTGAGCGAAGACAACTGTTAATGAAGGTCTGAAGTTTGTTTGAGATGCTGTTTATGACGCGCTGGCCAAGTCTCTGATCCGCATAGAAAGTAGCTGTGACTGACTTCACATTGGAGTTGAAGATCCGGATCTTATTTTTGATGGTGAGTGATGTTGACCTCCACACAGACTTGGTGAGAGTAATGAAACCCTGTCTTGCTTTTCCGATTCTCACTTTGATATCCTCGTCACTTCCGTTCGCCTGTAGTTGAAACGATGCTTCCCAGTCCGGTGGGTAGGTAAAGGAGGTTGTTTCTTTCAGGTTCCTCCCATTTATGCCGGCTGATTGTTGTTGTTGTGGCTGTTGGTGGTGTTGGCCAGGAATCTTCATCACCTCTGTTTTATCTATGTTCACCTGAAGTCCAATCTTCTCTGGATGCTTCTTCTGCCAACTTGTTGCTGCTTTTGACTTGCATATCTTCCAGTTTGTGGGAAATCAGACATATATATGTCATCAAGGGCGAAGTCCAGATCCTCCAAGTCTCTTTTTGTGTGAGTCCATTTTATGCCTGTTTCTTCATTGCCCGCTACTGTCTGTCGCATTATCCAATCTACTGCAACCAGGAAAATCATTGGCGATAGTAGGCAGCCTTGTCTTACTCCCGTCCTCACTTCGAAGGCTTCCGAAAGTTTCCCGTTGTGGATTACTTCGCATGCAGCATTATCGTATAACTGTTGGATGAGATGTATAATTGTCGATGACACCCCACCGTAGTAGCGAAGTAGTTTCCAAATCACCTCTCGATCGACGCTGTACTATCGAAGGCCTTTTCAAAGTCGATGAAGTTGAGTGAGATAGAGAGGTGACTGTTTATTAGGCTTATTATTTGTTTTCCGAAGATTTCTTTTCGCGTTTCACGCAATTATGTGCAAGTAAAATAAATTACAATCGAGAGGTACTGGATAAATATTCCGCATTAACCACTGCATTTGTTATTATAAAAGTTAACTCACCTCACAACTTTTCATATTAACCGGTAATGAGTCATAAGTTGACATAGGTCCAAAATATTCACCAGTTTTCGTAAATGCAACAGTTCTGTATGATTGTACATTATTTGAAACAGGAACCAACGTTGCCATACAACAGACATGTTGAGTGCGTGTTATGTTTTGCGTGCCATAAATTTGTTCCTGAATATCAAGTATGTCTGGGTTCATCCGGTTAGGACGTGTGATCCTGAATAGTGGTGAACTCTTTGATGTGTAAAGCCCCTGCGGAGGCTTTTCAAGTCGATGGATGTAGAGTGGTAGCTCTCCAACCTTGCAGTTAAAAGAGAACAGTTATTCATGAATATGACTTCTAACAAAGTAAACTTGGCATAATTTACTCTTCCTAAATAACCTATAATTTGACATCAGTTTCAGATTTCATGTCATAATTAAAGTGAAATAGCAAGTACAAGATGAAATTAAATCAACTTGTTCAACAGAAAGCTAGACACTAATCATGCTCAAAATAATGTAATACGCTACTGTTTCAGCAAATTTAAGCACATTTGTGATAGATTGTTTGTTGTTTACATTGACGCATCTTAAGACATTCACTTCATATTGTACTTCCACAAAATGTTGGGTGAATGCACTATTAAAGTATGTGTGTAAATATGTACGTTTAGGATATTAGTGGTGAACTTATTTTGCTTCATGAATATAAGCCCTTGTGAAAATACACCAGAATTTAAAAGCATGACTGGAAGTAACACATGAAAGACGCCTGCATAGATTGGTCGAATTACCCAGCCTATATTTAGAGACAAGAAGACTTTATTACTGCTATCATTGTCATTATTAGGACTCGGTCTTTCATTTCTGACGTCCCGAGTAGAAAAGAGGGTGTAGCTAAGCACCTTCATTCCACTGGGTTCCCTGCTATCACTTTCAACTGTCTCCATGACCACCACAAGCTTTCATTTCCTTTTCATATGACCACCTCAGTGTCACCATTAGATGCCTAACTCATCTCTTACCATTCGTGTTTCACTCGACTGCCTGGGATATGATGCCATTCAACAGTCTCCTCAGCGTTTTTCCAGTCCAGCTTTGCTTCCTTCTGCATATTTGTTGAGTGACACATTTTATGTTGATTTGCTGCCAGACCTCCATGTAGCTTATCCTTCATATAAGAAGTAAACTTGAGTACTGTGGTATTATTTTATTTATTTATTTTGATTACAGCTTGATTCCACACTGTATTTTTGCTACAAGTATGGAATTTTTAGCATGTGATATCGGTAGCCCAAATTTTGCAGGCCGACCATAGATATCAGGTGTGTGTCGGCAGGGGATCGAACCTCGGACCATGTGCATGGTCGGCGAGAGTCCTAACCACTATACCACGGACGCACAATTCCACCAAAGAGTAAATTGATTTGATAAAATCACAAAGTGATACACAGCATTATTTACTGACGATGTTTTGAGCACAATTTATTGCTCATAGCCATATGAAGGCAATAGTGATATGAATATGAGCCATAAATTGTGCTTTAAACGTCATCCGTAAATAACGCTGTATATCACTGTGTGATTTTATCAAATAAATTTACTCTATGTGGAATTGATTTTCCTTGTTGGTCATCTGATCCTCAGCATGGAGTGAACGCAAGTGTTGGTGAAAGTCTGCAGTAGCCTGCTGGAAATGCTTTGGTAACGCACACGCCAGATGTGTGAACTACATGCAAGTACTGGTTTAATATTAGTATTGAAAATTTGGATCTCGTTTGCTGTGTCAAGTGCTGCAAACCTCCAAACTCCTTTTAGAGTCATAAACACCTGACTTGATCCTTGATCCTGGGTGTTTTTGACATCCTTAACCGCGACGCCTGCTTGTGGTTGAATCAGTGCTCTCCAAGTGGGTAAGTTAAACAGACGACTTCCTTTAGATTTCTTCTGTTGATAGAGATTGGCGTCTATATTTGATTGGGCTCCTACACATCCATCCATTATATATATATATATATATATATGTGATCACTGACTTCCAGTTAAAAGCCCGGTAGTTTATACGTTTTTCATTTTTTTTTCTCTGTCTTTGTTGCCTCTTCTGACAAAGTGCTGACTGTCGCTTGTGTGTTACCAAGATTATGAGACCTGAGACACAAATAATCCACGAAATTCAGATCCCTTAAGTTCCTTTTGTTGTTCCAGTGTATGCCCATTTGCTCTACACGGTCTTTCGCATAACCTAGTTCACCACATACAATAAGACTTTCAATGAAAGTAAGCACTTTTCTCGCTCCTGTCTTCACTTTAAATACTTCGTTGAGCTTTCTACTGTGTATTACTTGGCATGAGGCATCATCATATAGCTATTCCAACAGGTTTATTAGTGTTTGAGGCACCACACTCCGTAGTGTTGGAACAATTTTCAAACGACTTCACAGTCGACGCTGTCAACAGTTTTTTCGAAATAAATGAAGTTGATGTGAAGAGTTTTCTGCTATTCCAGGCTCTATTAGAAAACGACACTGTCTATCCGGGTAGGTGAAAGAGATAACTTCCTTTAGATTTCTCCCATTGACGGTGATTGTTGCCTTTTATTGTTAGTCAGTAGATAAGTTCCCTTCCGCTACCTCTTCATTAGTGGAATGACCATGCCCTCTGAAGTCTTTGGGTCAGTTTTCAGTCCCTCTTGGGGAGTTCTATATGACTCCACCTCTTCTTGGCCAGCTCTTAGTAAGCTTATAGCCCTTAAGACTTCTGCTTTGATCGGAGAGTAAGTGTTCACTGATAGTTCTGTGTCAGCTAGTAGTGATATTTCTAGGCCAGTTCTAAATAATGGTCGATTTAAGAGTCCTTTAAAGTGATCAGCTCAGCGTTTCTTCTCTTTCTACTCTTTGATGCCTGAGTTTTCTTTCGTATCTTTTACTAGCTTTATCTGTGTTTATCTCTTTCCACATAGCGACGTGGTTACTTGATGCACTGTTGTGAGGTCTCTCTTACCTGCGACCTGTTTCACTTCAGTTGCCAGTGTGTCGTAAAATCGTATTCTTTTGTTCTTTCTTGGCACTTTTCTCCACTTCTTTGTTCAGTGTTCACCTTCTCTTTTCGTTGTTGATCTTTACATTCTTCTCCTCCCTATTAGCTACCAGGTTTTCATAAACACCTATTTCTTGCCCTACCTCTTTTTCTTTCCTATCTTGTTATTTCACTTATCCTTTGAAATTACAAAGCATTTTACACCGTAGATACCCAAAGATACACCATACTAAAATATGAAGACGAAGTGAAAGTGGGTTAAGAAATGAGAGAATTAAACCAACCAAGATGGAAAATAGGCTAATGAATCCAATGATATCACCACTACCAACTTCTTAGTATACTCAGTTAGTAGAACTCACATATTTATATTCGTTATATGCACTCACTACATTGCTTACTGTTTACTAGCGCTACTTTACTACTTAAAATCTGCTCAGTATCTTGGTAACTAGTATGGGCTACTTAATTTTATGTGCACAAAACAGGCAGCATTTATTCTAAAGTGTAGAAAAATGTCAACAATTACGTCGAAAATGTGAGAAAATTCCACGACAGGACATTATTAGAATTCTTTTGGATGGTCAAAAATTCCATAAATGTTACAGGGCTTGTGAGATATTTCACATATTAATATATCAAGCAATATGAACGTTTATAAACAGTGTAACTGTAATTCTCACTTAGCTGGAAAGAACTCAGAAACCATACAAGGAAAGCTTCACTTCTAAAATTCCAACAACTGTGTATAAAAAACGGTTACAAATGGCTGTCGGTGGTTATTTTTCTCCTTATTTCCGCACAGGTGTGAATATGTACTTGTTTTTTTTCCTTCACGTTCCCCAGTGGAACATAGGGCTTCAAGCTAGTGGCTTGAAGTTGCTGTAGTAGTGTTTATTTTACAGGTTGGGGTTCCTAGCCTCATGCCCAACCTTTCTTCTTTACCAGCATTATTTCTGGTTCAGCGAGGTAAAGGAGTTCGTCGGCCGGGGATCGAACCCCGGACAATGTGCATGGACGTAAAGCCTTATTCACCAACGAAAAATGTTCCCACTTCATACTGAAGTTTGAGATGAAGAGGTTGTCTAGAAGGGCTATGAAGTCTTCACAATTAAAGCCATCAGCTCACAAAACGCAACCACATCAAAGCCATCCACCTGAGCTACAAATCTTCTATATCAGACCTAGTGCTTTTGGTACTCTCACCATACTTCAGGAAATTGTGATTTATTTTGACGAATGATGAGTTTCCCTGAATTGGTTTTGATTTGGCCAGCTTCATAGGTGTTCAATACGCAATAAGCCTGCCAGTTTGAAAATTTTTAAAAGGATCCCAACAGTGTAACACACCAAGATTAGGAATCAAATATTTTAGTGTCTACACTTGAGTATCAATGCTGTGTAGTTAAGGTAGAAGAAGGTTGACGATAACGGTCTTGATTAGAAAAGCAAATAACAAAGTAATTTTCAAGTATTCGTTTTGTAGGGATTTTGTTTGATTGCATGGAGGATTTCACCATAGGCTGACATCAGCAGGTTGAAGATGAGGCAGTAACTCATCGAAGAAGACATTGAGAAATGGTCGCGCTATGTTGTGAATTGGCAGAAGTTAGAACTCAAGGGCCAGTGGATCAGGTCCCAGTGGCTCAATGGTCTACGAGCTCGCCTTGTAGCCAGAAGGTCCTGGGTTCGAACCCCGGTTGGTGCGTACTGCTGAAGGGTCACAAACTAGGACGGAACAGCTTTCCAGTACTCCCAGCTGGTTTTTCAGTGGTTCTCTAACTGATGTCAGCTCATGGTGAAATCCTCCATGCAATCAAACAAAGTAATTAACTACTGTGATAGGTATACAGCATTGTAGTTTTACAGGGGAGATGGACCATCAAAAACTTTTAGGTTTGACTCTTCTATTTCACGTAGTTTTTAGATCACCTTTACCAAATGAACTTAAATATGTAACAAGTGCTAACCATTTTCATTTTTTAAACATATATCTCAGTTCATAAGTAGATTGAATGTTTAAAGACAGTAAATTCTACTTATGAATACTTACCAGCTTTTAGTTTTCTTAATAAGCAATTATATTCAATTATCTCATGAACACCAACATATATTGTAAAAAAACCAATCAAACATCGCATGTGTGGAATGTCATTTTATCCACTAGCATACGGAATTTATATGCGTCGGTGGCACAGTGGTTAGGACGCTCGCCGACCATGCACATGGTTCGGGGTTCGATCCCCGGCCGACGAACTCCTTTACCTCGCTGAACCAGAAATAATGCTGGTAAAGAAGAAAGGTTGGGCATGAGGCTAGCAACCCCATCCTGTAAAATTAAACACTGCTACAGAAACTTCAAGCCACTGGCCCTATGTTCCACTGGGAACATGAAGGAAAAAAATACGGAATTTATACCTTTATACGTTGAACATAAATCCATATACGGCTTCAAACAATTTGTGGCAACAAAGTTATGGTTCAAACAAAAACTTATATCTAGAAGGAAATAAGTAAATTAGCTCACCTTAGACCATGTGCCGGCTTCAGTTGTGAAGGTTTCACCATCGAATAAAAATCCAATGACTCCAACATTGTGCTTTCTGCAGAAAATATCAACCTGAGATCTTTCTCCTTGTGGTAAATTAGTGTAAATAGCAAAGTTCTCAAAAATTATCATAGTAATACGTTCAGTATGTGAAAGCACTTTCAAAAAAGCTGAAATGCTGTTTGCTTGTACGTGATTAATAGTAATTACATGATATGGAATTAGTAGAACTTTCAGGATATAAGCTAAGTATCTGTTCGTAGGTGAACTTTTCGAAAATGTGAAAACTACCACAGAATTCTTACAGTCTACACAAGACTTCAGCTGATGGTCATCTTTATGATATGTACTCATCTGAGGTTGAAAAACTTCTATGTCATGTGAATGACATTCGTATCCTTTAGTCTTTATTAAAGTTGGCTTCAAGTTTCCGAACTCCACCTCGAATAAACTCACTCTTGATATATATTGGTTGGGAAATCCTGAGAATCTCCATGTTATTAAAAACAAAATCGTCAAAAGAAGCAGTACTGTTATTAGAAAACGAATTCTGAATTTTAAATGCATTTTCTTAACAAGCGGCTAACACGATATTGGAAGACATTTTGAATATTCTTTGTGTACGATAAGAGTTGAAAGCACTTGCAAACAAAGAGAAGAAAGATAAAATGGTCTATGAGAACAATGAATACACTTAAACTCAGTCAGTTACATTATGCTTATTATTAACGACGATAGGATAAAGTGTTTTCAAAGACACAGAGGTGGGTAAATAGATAATACTAACATTCCGACACCGTCTGGCCTGAAATTCAGTTAGGGGATGGCATTGACCACTCAACTTACATGAGAATTCTTAGGAACTCTTCATAGTTGTTAGGTGACGGAATTTCAACACTGAGACGAACACTTCGTTTTCGACACTAAACACTGAGTGTCAAGTGCACTGCAACTGCACTACCGCATGGTCCATTAGGCCTCACAGAAATGCTAATGTTCTGCGAAACCACGATGTGAACAATAGAGAAAACGAAAAATACAATCGTAGACAAAATTGATGTATCAGCCGGCGTTATAAATACCCATTTTTGAGGTGATTAAAAGATGTCATACATATTTACCCATTGTTCACCATGACGTGCTGTTTTATGGAAACTAGAGTGAAGTTCCTAGATGCTGTGAGTGGAAAAACCAAAAAGTGGGTGACTACTACGGTGCAAATTAACCAACTTAAACCACTACACAGTAATGTTACTTCCTAATTCGTTTTTTTCTGGTTTGGGGTAATACTTTAAACCTAGAACTAGCAGTTCACATGCTTGAAACGGATTATAAAAACGACAGCTAGTCCATGAAGTATCGGTCTGAGCCATTTGGAAGAATTTAAATTGTTCAAGTAAATTCCACTTGACCCACAAAAATTCTTAATTGATTAACTGAAACATAAAGGAGCAACTTTAGATTACCTTCTGTTGTTGACTGTAAAGGTTGTGTTTAACAACACAATCCGCAAACGTCCAGACTAGTGGTGTTACATTAAACAGGCGTCAATCAAACTTTATTTCGATTGAGACTGCATAATAAACATTTTAATAATATCAAGAAATATGCGGCTATATGATGCTTCCGGTAAAGTCAACTGTTTTGAGAATGCTTATCCTAAACAGGTTGATCCGAAAACTACTCGAATACGTTGTAGATAGTAGTCCTGTAACTGCGGTTGAGGTTGCAAAAGCAAAGTAAGACAGTGGACGTTGCGCTCCAAAGATGTTTAAGGAGATTAATGATGAATTACTGTTTATTAAGGTATTAACTAAGCTAAAGAAATCCAGGGTACTTACGTCAGACTGGTGATCGTTTATCATCCCATTTGATATTAGGAGATTCACCAGGAAATCAGAGAGAAAACAAGACTTTCCGCGATCTTTTCAATGATTTCATTCTCAATAAATTTACAATCGCAATTAGCACACATACGTTAACACAGCCACAATTATTATTTAATTCATCATAGAAACTACGGTTAGCGTTCAAGATAGTAATTTTCAACTTGATAGGAATAAGAGATTAATATTAATCAATAAAGCAATGGGACTCAGGAACAATAAAGGATTACGAATATAGTTGTGCAATAGTAAAAATAGTTTTTATCAAAAGTAGGTGTGATCATGAAGTGTCGCATACTCTTGTTTTCCCAGCTATTTAATCACCTCTCTAAGTGCTCTCTTCATATATATTTCCCATTTTCTCACAAACATGCATGCCTTCTAACCAAAGCATGGTTTACGTAAATCTTTAAACTTCAAAAGAAGCGGTAATTATCCGCTAAACATCACTAACATTGGATGACAGAAGGACTTATTGAATAAACCCGTTTCTGAGTTAATGTGATTGAAGAACATTTCACTTTATATGTGAAATTTATGTTAGTGAAGTATGAATATCTATCTGAATACAGTTGTAGCAACTCACCCTGGTTGCACTCCCAGAGTAGCATGCGAGTACCTTTGTGTCTGACTTATTATATTATTTCTATATTTAAGCACTTCAATAAAATATCCGCATCTTGTAGCCCGATTTGACCTAGTTAAAATGTGAGCCTTCTGCTCTAATATACGTCGATAAGAAGTGGTGAGTCACTAGTTCATTCATCAAGTGAAATTATGTCGCTCGTTCTTTCTGCACTTGTGTTGAATAAAAGCATTGATGTATGACCCGATATGCCATAAATTAGGTGGCACGATGTGGAAGTAGTCTTTGAAAACAAGGTGTGATGATGGAATTCACGCAATGAAATGTGAGGGGAAAGATCGAAGCAAAACTGAGTCCATTTTAAATATATAGGTTGAAAGAACATGAAGTGAACATAATTCTATCTCCTGCATGCAAAGGAGCCTGCAGTGTAAAGGACTTCGAAGCAAACTTTCTCAGGCAGATTTCCTTTCCCTTTGTGATTTTAAATAGTGAGTCTGTTAAGATTATATAAAAAGTTTCCATGAGGTGCTCGACTTTAGTGCTACTTGTAGAAACAGTGCTGCACCTCGGAAACCAAGCTGCGCAAAGTTTTCTATCTTTTTTTGAAGAACAACTTATATACGTAGCTGCAAAAGAGATGCAATCGGTAGGGGGTAGGTCGCTGCAAATTTTCTTTAAAAATTAAGAATTCTTCAGGGGATATCTGCTACAAAGTTCTTCTTGTACTCCATGTTTACGTGAAGTGGATGTCTCTCATTTGTGGTTTTAGTTTTGTTGTTCTCTTGGTATATATTCTAACCAGGAATGTTTTTAGAAACCAAAGTTCGTTTAAAAAATCAGTGATGTAGTTTTTTGAAATGAAATGAAAAAATAGAACCATAAGAAGTCCCTCCCAGCTTATGCGAATGCCGAGATAAAATTTTGTTAGCCGGTTGGTTCATGCAGATTCCCTATGGATGTCACTTCAATATGTCATGTCTATAATATATGTATATACATATATACATAAATATATATATATATATGTGCTCGTAACGAAGATGCCGGTAGGAATGAAAAATAAATTTAAAAGTAAACAGTTTTCATTAGCACACTTTTTTGTCAAGTAATCCAATAGTTAGAAAAACCAGAAAGGCCAAAAACAACTTACTGGTTGAATAAGTACTACAGGCGATTTCCTCACTAGAATTTCTTCTCAAAAACCCAACTTATCGTAATATTTCTCCTAGTTGCTTGTTACAGTTATTAGGACTGCTGTTACCCCTAATAATCCTAGGGGTCCAACTATTTACGTCTCATATTATAGAAATAATGCGTAGCTGGATCTGCAGGCTCTTAAACATCAAGCAATGCAAAATAATGTTTCCTTGTAACACATTTCGACACGTTAATTAGTCAGTATTGTGAGTTTATAGTTAAATAGGGGAGTGGTCGGCCGCCACAAGAGACGTCAAAATTCGACGCCCAGGCACCTAGTTTAGCAGCCAAGAATTAAATTTGGAAAAGAAGGAAAATTAGGCGTGAAGACAGTGACCTCATCTAGTGAAGACGACAGCGCTACTACGGAAAGTTTACAATATTGAAGACAATGAACGAAAATGGACAGGGAGATTAAATGAAGATCAACGAGCCCTTCCAAAACATGTCAGATAATAAGGAATGAAAAACCATTCCAAAAACATTCGATTCATGGCAACAAAAACACCACTGATTCTTAATTTTTCGAGGACAGTAGGCAATCAGTCAATACTTGAAAATGTACATTTAGATGACAGATTACGTCATGGATTGATTTGCTTTAGTATAGCCTGTCACAATTCCTTTCGGTCAAATCTTAATTTAGCTACCATTATCAGCACAGGTAGAAAACTCGCTGATACTTTGTCGTATAACAGTGAAAAAAATCTGAGATAGGTACATGATAATAATTTTGCGTTAAAATTATTTCCTTACAGTTACCATTCCTTTGGCAGGTTTACATCTGATGCTTACTAAAACATGCTTGAGGAACATTGCAAAAACCAATAATCGTAAACTAAAATTGCTAAAAAAAATGTAATAGTGACGATTCGTTTTCACAGAAGATAGTTTCCAACGAATTTATTATCAAGCTGTAAAATTATATATATATATATATATATATGCGTTATTTGAATCACAATAGAATAGGTTACGTAATTTATTAAACATTTCATGGTCCTAATCCGTCTATATTAAATTATGACAGTCCCTGTTTCAACCTATCCCACTTATTCCTCGTTTTGTTTATACGATGTGTAAATCTATCCCTTATTACTTCGCTTGTTATTACTATTTCCAACTCGCACGATGTCCACTGTTGTCTCACTTGTCACTTTTAACTTATCTAGATAATGTTATCAAAATTCTCACGTTGTTACTTACTTTTTTTAATGCTTACTAGTCTGATTAATTCTACACCTTTTCATAAGATTTACACTCCACGAATTTTTTTAGAAGTAACAATCTACAATGTTGGTTGGTGTTCAAGTATGATAATACACGCAAATATTTCGTTACAGTTCACATTATTATTTCAAATAACTCAAACAAACATTTTTTGGCAACCCTTGTCGCGAAATAACTTCCACACACCTTAATACACGTTATAAATGAATTGACCTCTTCTTATTTCCCAACATAAGTTCAAGTTAATAAAAAGTATATTAGTGACTTCTTAAAACTTGAACGTATTTGGTGTTGATTGTATAGAATACGAAGTGACTGTTTGCAACGGACGATAGTTAACGAGTTACTTCATATGTGAAGAAAACTATATCGTATATGATAGAAAAACAATATGCTAATCCTCAGGCATCAATCGTCGAAGCTGTCGTTTTTAGGATCCAAAATTGGCACACAGGTCGAAAATTCCGATCGAATCAATCAATGGGAAGTTGACTTAAGCAAAGGATTAGAAATAGGATAAGGCTTTACGCGGTAAGAAAATGGTCACTCTGAAGTTAATCCAAACTCTGACCGTAATACTAACTTGAACCCTAACCCTAAAAGGCTGAATAAAAATTTTGAGACAATGCAAATGAGAAATGAATGGTACATTTTTAGGACATGCA